GCATAAAATTATAATATTTGGCTGGTGACTTCCCGGGATAGAGCTCACCAAAGTTTGCAAATGAAAATGACCTCAGCCTACTTTAGAGGTCACAGAGGTCAAAAACATTTTAATGGATTTGTTCTTGAGAACTAAAAGGAATGGATTCATAAGATTTGGCTGGTAGCTTTTTGGAATAGAGCTAACCAATTTGAGAAGGAAAATGACATTGACCTACTTACAAGATCACAGGGAAAAATATGTCAAACGACTTCTGAAGAAGAACCGAAAAGCATAGAATCTTATAATAATATTTTGCTGGTAGTTTCAACAGATGGAGCCATCAAAGTTTGCGAGGGAAATATTTTTAGTGAAATATAATATTTAATGAGAATATTTTGCTATGACTGCTTAAATATTCAGGTGAGCGATACAGGCCCTCTTGGGCCTCTTGTTAATTTTTACAACAAAATAAAAGTTCTTAATTTTTCAATTATGCCTTTTAAGAAAAGATGATACTCATTGAAAAGTTTTGTTTACTTGCAGCAATAAAAGACAAGATTGATGAGTTTTCTGACCTGATCAATCCTCTTATTGATTCCTTATCCTCCGTGAGATCTTCTGTAAGTATGAAACAACTATAGATACAGTGTACTGTTAATTTGAAAAATATGTTTGATGCACTGGTTTTCTCTACCATATTGCTAATAAAAATGAGTTAATGACTTTAACTGCTTTTACCATTAAGTAAACCAACTTATAATCATTTAAAATATGTGAATCAATAATTGGAAAAAAGGTTTATTGCAAGAAATTTTTGTCATCTATAAGAAGAACACACTCTTATCTTATTGCATGCCACAGAACAAATGGTGGGAATATTGAATATAATAATGGCAGGAAATATGTTACAATGTAGAAATGATAAAATAATTGGCATATTTTGTAGATAATATCAATCACATTCTAGTGATGTCCCATTTGACAGGGCTTTATCTTTTTAAGTCTTTCCTAAATATATACCAGATATTTTACAAATTTTTAAATAAACATTTATTCCAGGTTTTGTCATCTGTTGATACTGATGCTTTACTAGATGATTTCTCTTCACAAATGACCACAGCTAAAACATATGATCAGTACAGGTAAGCTTACTAACTATAACACCTGACAACCTGATTCTATAAGACTCTTTCATGCCCAAGGGTTCAGGATAAGAAAATTTGGTCTAAAGGCGGAAATAGTTGAGATCCTCATCCTATATATATATATATCGAAATTGCTCCAGGCATGAACAGCTTTTTATAGCCTAATACATAGCAGGTGCTACTAAGATTGGCCTACTGGTCTGCCCCTCTATTAGCAATTTAGTTTCTGGGTCATAACATGGACAAATTTGATATTCCCACCCAATAACGATATATCCAATTGCTGAGCATAAAGGTATACACATATGCAACCTGAGAATTTGCCCTTATGTCTGGCCCTGTCACTGGGGTTTTATTTGCAATATAAATGCAATGAAAATGTTTTTTCCATTTTTGATGAAATATTTAGGTGATGGGGTACTCCCATAACATGAGAGGGCGCAGGTCGGCCTTTTTCCAATCGAATATGATTTTGCCGACTGCGACCTCTTATTTCCGAAGCACTAATTCTTTGATGCAGTTTCCGCCCGAAATCCGGGCGGAACAAAATCGGCTTGAAAAACTCACTTAAGTGGTTAACAGTTCATGACAACGATGTCTTCTCATGGTTTATATAATATAGATCTCATATGTATGCCACAGACACAAATATATAGTATATTACGGACTAGAACACTCAAAATACATGTCCATGTCGTTAATAGCACATCTCTGACCTACATTTAAAACATGGGTCTCCAGTGACATCAAGATATAATTCTTAATACATTTGTACAACAATTTCACTGTTTGTTATTAATGAATTATATAATCATGTTCACAGGTGGTACGGAGGTGTAGGCCTGGCATGCATTGTGCTGCTAGTTGTTGTCCTACAACTTCTAGGACTTGTCTTTGCCCTAATTGGCTATGATTCCAAGGTTGATCCTCGTGAGAGAGGATGCATGTCCAACTCTGGAGGAGAAATGTTCATGGCGTAAGAGTGATTTTTTTATTATATTAAAAGGAAGATCATATGATTTTAAGGTTTGCATTTACCAGGAAGTTTAGAAGTATAAATCAATCGTACCTGACTTATTGATTTAATCTTGTTTTATTATACATTAACCTAACTCCTAGGTATTTTCAAGTCACCATCGAAAGTTATAATATATTAATATATTTAGTAGATAATAAATAAATAAGTCCTTGCGAAGGAAAATATATAGTATAAAACAATAATTTTGTCAGATTATATATATAATATAATATAATATAATAAAATAATATAATATATACATCTTTGTTTTTAATATATTTAGACTGAGAGTTTCCCATTATGCATTTGGAAAGACCTTGGAACAAAATGTTTTACACATGATGTAAAACATTTTTTCTTTAAATTTTCTGATCACTGTTTCATGACGTCATCAATATTTGCTGAAATATCATGTAACAGTATTAAGTCCCAACTTAACCGGAGGAGACTTTATCAATTTGTTTATTTCTTGAACTCTCTCTGTGTAAGTCTGAGTCTGTCAGAGCATCAATCTGTCGGGAGCCTTTCTCATAAACTCTGTCAACTGCAATTGCCAAATAATGCGAATATTTGTTCAGATGTGGGATTGTCACATAAATAAATAAAATATACAACATTTGATATAGCGCCCTATACTATCTAGCTAATATAAGCCACTCTAAAGCACTTAGATACATAGGTATACAATTTATACAATTTGAGAAATTCACAGGAGCTGCCTTATCAGGCACTGACTACCACTAGTCCTATGCCATCTGGCTAATATCTCCTTAAGTGTGTATGTCTGCGTGTGTGCTGGAGATGTATTGTGTACGTATACGGTATAATACAGAAAGCTGGCCTGGAAATGGCGATCCATTGATTGCGCACATACAACACTTTGTTTACTATTCGTTGAATGATTGCAGATAGTGTTTATATTAAACTTATTGTGGTAAAGGAAATATGCCTATATATATATTGTGTTTACTGTTATAAGTATTTGTGCTGCAATAAGTGCCTCTCCCTTTATCTCAAAACTGAAAAAATACCCGTTTTGAAAAACGTACTCTCAGTTTATCTGCTAAAGATGTGCTTTCGTGACTTGTTATCATCATCATACTTCTTTGGACAGATTATAGCAATACATTTTACAATTCCTCCACATGCATATGGTTTATTAGAAGGACATCAACTTTCCTAAATGCTTAATTTGCCACTTTGTTTTAGAAGATGTGAAGTAGTGTACTTATTTTACAAACCTCTTGTGTGGTATTCCATCTTTGCGTATTGCAGAGTTATCTGCTCTTGAGAGCAGGTATTGATTGTTACGTCATTTGTTTGTGACAGTAACGTCATCAATTTTTGAGAAAACGACGTAATTTTCTCACACAAACCAATGACGTAACAATCAATACTGCTCACAAGAGAAGATACATTTTGTAACGCTGTAATACGCAAAGACGGAATAACTGATGAAGTTACATGTATGTCACCCTTACAGAAAAGCTATTGACAGTGTTGATCTTTTCCCAATCGGTGAACGGATATTCTTCTCTGATGAATTAGGTGTCTATACTTTGATATTTGTGTCAGGTGATATTCCTGACTCTTAGCATAAGCAAATGACCAACTAACCTTACATGATTTTAATTAGATTGTACAATTACATGCAAATTTTTCAGGAAAGCACGAAATACATTATTTTAAAACATTGATTATGTAATGTATTTGAATGCATTAATCAGTAAATTTACATAATGTACCTTGTCTTCCTGAAAATTTCCCTGAACAATGTCTATCTTAAGAATTAACAAAATAAGTGAGACTTGGCTTATATGCTAAACTGGTTTTTATTTTGTCATCAAATAAGGACCTTGATCTTCAGTTTTCAACATTTATAAATGGTTTGAATATTTAATATGACTAGTAAAATATACCAAGTAAATGTGCTGAGTTTTGTTGCACTAGAATATTTTAACTCGCCAAGTTATTGTCTGTTGCAGGTCTGTTGGATTTGTTTTTATCTTTTCCTCACTACTCATGTTGCTGACCACCCTAACTTACCTTATTGGGGCACCACTGGAGAGGTTTGTCTGTCAACCAATCACAGACTCGGATATGACAGACTTGGACAGGGTGCGCTTTATGCAGTAATATTAATCTGTTCAAAATTAAACATTGAGAAATTTGTATATTTATATTTATATATGATGATGAGTGTTTGTTGTTCATGTCTTTTAGAAATACCCGATACAGCATGGAATTGTGAAGCATGGTAAAATGAATCAGGGTAAAAATTCCATAATGGTAATGTGAACTGCTGTTCATTTTACCATTATGGCCAGACTAGAATGTTTTAGCAGAAACTTCAGTATATTTCACTTGGAGATGGTATATTAAACAAATATTTGAGTCATTTCTCTGGTCATTTCTGTTATATTATAAAAAAAATTGAAGCTTTCATGATTTTGATAAATTGCACATGATTTGTAAAAATGTCGTTTGCTGTTGGTGTTGTAGCTGGTTGATGAGGTGGCCTTCAAACAGCTGTATGGAGGTACTGGATCTGTGCTCGGAAAGATGCTCTACAGTAATTCTACCTATGACATACCTATCTCAGGACTACTCAAGTAAGATATACAAATAAGATGGTACCTTTTAGTGACACTGTTATATTTAGTTCATGAGCAACACTGGTAATGCTTCATCATCTTTGTGTGATTTTATCAAAAACTGGACAATCATGACATTCAGAAGTATAAATGCATTGACATCCAGTCAATTTTGCATTCAGGTTCATATATAACAAGGGACAAATTAATAAATGGTGGCTTTTAATGACTTCAATGAAAATATATAAAGTCATAAACTTTTTCATGCATCCATTTCTTAATTTTGTGAAATAGTCAATGTGCATAAGAAGTCTTTATAGTGAATGTATAGTTTAAAACTAAATAGACTTGACGTTTTCTGTACAAAATCCAACCTTTTTTATTCTCTTGTAACTTGATCAGGATCAGAAGCCAATCTTTTTTAATTCGGATATATATATTTGCCATCTTTTCCTCTGCTTCTGTTATAAAGGTATAGTGAAAGAGATTTGTCCTGGAAATTTGTAACATTATGAAAAGTTCTTTTTACACAACCAATTCAATTTTCTATGTGACATTTCGATCATAAAATTTTCTATGTTATTATGTGTCATTCTAAATTGAAATTACCTTGTGTTTACGCTGAGATGTAGAGACGTACATACAACACCTTCAAGTCCGAATATTAGGTGCCCAGTTAACACAATAAATGCTAGAAATATCATCGAGAAAGCACAGAAAGATCTATTGAAAGAGAGAATACAAGTTGTAAACAACAAAATTAATTTGTAACATGTTCTGTGCCAAATGGTTCGAAGAACATCAATCCTTAGTCCTATAAGTGTTTCAATATTTTTTCTGTACAATTCATTGGTAAAGTGTATTTCATATTTGAATTCCTATATCAGAAACAGAAATGCTAATGTAATTAATTTTTACAGGGATTGTCAAGCTAGTAAGACTGTGTACATGGCCTTAAAGGCAGACACTTATGTCAACACATCCCAGATAGACAACTACAAAACAGTAAGTAGTCATATACAACTATAATGCAGCAAGACAAATTATACACTGCAAGTCGTCACACACAGCTTTTTAAGAGTAATTAATTATATAAGATATTACAATTAAAATTGGGACAATAGTGCAACCCAGAGAGAACTTTATGATATGGAGTAATTCTTTGGGGTCAAGGGTTATTATCTAATAGGCATCTGGATAACACTTTAGAAGCTTCTGTATAAGGGAATTCACTAAAATACTCCCTTGATGTGACCTTCATTTAATGTCAGTATTTATAACGTGACTGCATTTGTGGGTATTTGCACTAATATGATATGATCGGTATCTCTTTATGCTAGTATTAACTTGTTTCCAGTTTTCATTAATAATTTGCTCATTTATCAATTCTGTTTAGGAATTTGATATTCAATCAGAGCTTGATAAGATTGACGATGCTGTCGACTTTTCAAGTATTGCTATTCTGACGCCGTCATTGCTATCGAACCTGGAGGACACAAAGTCTGCCGTGAATGTTGATTTTGCTTCCTATGCAGCAGAGGTATATAAACAGTTTTAATGTTTTATGAGAAGAAAAATAATGGTATATATACATGTAATCAATCATTTCTAAATAAACAAATGAATTAGTTAAAACCTTTGTTTATAAAGATTCTCTGATTTGATATTTGAATCTTTACAACTGTTTTGGTACTGATTTACATCATGTACTAATTATACAAAGTTTAACAGTGTAAATTACTTTCTATGATAGTCAATTTAGAAACTTTCAACACGCGATGACTTATACAGCATACATGAATGTATGATTAACAAATAGAATCTGTCTCTTATATGTGTGTTGTAGACAGAGATTTAATCTCAACTTGAGGGTAAGATTTTAAAGTATAGCAAGCGGCTGTGTCGTGTACTGAACTTCAAAAATCTTATCCCAAAGTTTGAGATTTCCATTTTTGCATCACACTGGAGTGATTCATAATTTTTCTTCCACATTTTCCGACTGTGCAAATTATTGTTGCAAAGGTAAACCCAATTAATTGCACGGTATCATCCTCAAGGGCATATGAAATGTGCAACAAGATTGATGACACTGCCCTAGTTACATTGTGTAAAATGATGACACAATGATCTACGTACCTTTCTCTAGTAAGTCAAAGGCAGGTTTATCTTTCCCTATCAAAATCAGGAATGCACCTGTGAAGTGTGGGAGAAATATGTCCCAACATGTTAAAAAACTGCATCTGCATGAATATTAAGTCTTAGTCAATTAGTGTTTTGCTAAGTTGATAATTAGGCAAAATTTGAATTCAATCCAAATGTCATATTAATCATATCTTTTGCATAAATCTATATCTCTTTAATACAATTGCCTTTCCTTTTCACACACTGTAGCTGAACAAAGATCTTACATCAACTAATTTGACAGAATTTGCTGATAGCTTGAGAACATTGGCTACTGCTGCTGGTGCTGCTGGAGAAACATCAACACAAGTGAGTATATTCTAAACCATGTTGTAATTAGTCCGTACAATATGGATCTGTATTCCCTATTACTATCTAATTATAAATTAGCAAAACATTTCCTTTAACAAATTCAGGAATTGATTGTTGTGGTTAAATACATGTTGTATGTATAATTAATTTGAGGTGCTTGCTATCAATGTATGATGTTCTTTGATATAATTGATTCAAATATTGTGTTTTGTGACTATTATATTAGTCATACAAGTTTCAGACAGGCAATATACGTTTTTAGAGTCATATAACCTTTCTTGGTTTTCTATTTCCAAACTAAGTACCAGAAATGGGAAACTCAGTTAGACCTCATGTTACCTGCCTTAAACCTGTATGACTATTTTGTCATATTGCAAACGTTTTTAGTATTTAAAAAGAAACGAAACACAGGAGTTTCTATTAATAAAATTGATTTGGTGCAACTGCAATTTTAGATGTAACAGCTTTTAAGTCATTAATCATCCAAATTTGTTTTGAGAATTTTTGGATAGTCACTCAGACAATGCAAGTTATAAATTATCCTTCTTAGCATGCATGTTTATATTACCTGAACAGCCTTAAAACTGATAATACCTGGCTAGCCTGATGTGCACTTTTATATAAAACTTGTTTTGAAATGAATAAAATCACTTTCAGTGTTATTAACAATCAAAATCAGCTTGATTTTTATCGGCATTATCATAATATAAACGGGTATTTCCTGGGTAAAGGTTCTGGATAAAAAAAACTACATGTGTCAAGCAAACATTATCACATGGTCACATCTTTCTGTATAACCTAGTATAAACTCATGTAATAAAAATAATACACCAAATTCATATAGTGCCCTATATGATTTGTAAAATTAAGCTTTTTATGTAGTTTTACCAACAGAAGTGTTTCTGTTTTGCAGAATGATTTGAATACTCATGCTGCAACTCTGGATACCATTCAGAGTACAGAGGTGGCTGCTCTTAATGAGGCAGTGGTAAGTATCCCACATCAATAGATAACACCATTCTCAATGGTAAATCAAGGTTTCCCCCGCTGAATGGCACATACAGGCTTCGTATTACCGTGTTTCTGTGTATTGAAGAAAAGGGGAAATGAATGATATTGCATCCACCCTATATTTGAGTCCTATAATAGGACTCAAATGTTCCTCAAGATTACTTTAACTATATGTAGGCACTCATTTCACAGGTGTGTAGTGTGAATCAGTTTAGTTTAATAGCGTGTACCAGTATATCATATATTCCTAAGAAGTTTTATTTTCACTTAATTCACGGCCTGAAAAAACATGGAAATTGAATGTTAACACAGCAAATTAAGTGGTATTAATTAATTGGTAGAAAGTTAGAACTTTTGACTATAATGGAAATGGTGCAAAATTGAAATCCTATTTGTTCGTTGAAAGTACATAATTACAAAAGTGTTATAGTGCAGTGCTATACATTATTTCCAAGGGTTTTGTTCAGGGATAGCATCGTTATTATGTACTAGCTTTACATGTTTCAAGACCTATTCTAACCTGCTCAACAGGTTCATAGAGTCTTTGTCTTGTCTACCAAGAATTCTGATACTAGTATGTTTGAAAAAAGAAGGCTTTGAAAATAGCTGACGAATTTCACTACTCTAAATGTGCATAATAAAAAATATTGACCTTAATATCACACAAAGAAATATTAGATTTTTAGGTCACCTGAGACAAAGTCTCAAGTGCCCTATTGCGATCGCCTTTTGTTCGTCGTCGTCCGTCGATCGTTCTGCGTCCGTAAACAATTTACATTTTCGACTTCTTCTCCAAAACCCCTGAACCAATTTCAATGAAATTTTGCAGGGACCTTCCATGGACAAAGGTCAACAAAAACAATGGCCGGTTTAGCCCCAAGCCCCCAGGGGCCTGAGGGGCGGGGCCAAAAAAGGTCAAATTGACTAAAATTTCAAAAATCTTCTTCTCAAGACCCAGATATGGTAGAATCAAAAACTCTTCATATATGGAAGGTGCTTTACCAAAATTGTGAATTTCTTGACCCTGGGGTCTCACGTTTCCCCCTGGGGAGGGGGTAAACTTTACTATAGTTTATATAGGGAAATCACATTTTGGACCAACATTTGTTTAATTTCCATTGGAAAGGATCAAATACTACCTAGCATTATATGTATTAGGTAGCAGTTTGATAGTATGCACATATGAGCCCTGCCTGACCCCCAGGGGCTGATGGGTGGGGCAAAAAAGGGTTGAATTGACTGAAATTTCAAAAATCTTCTTCTCAAGACCCAGATATGATAGAATCAAATACTCTTCATAGATGGAAGGGTCTTAAGGTTTATGACCCTGGGGTCTCATGTTTACCCCCTGGGGAAGGAGGGGGGGGGGGCAAAATTCATTATGGTTTATAATGGCAAATGATACTTTGAATATTACATGTTAATAACTTGATTGGAATTATAACCTTGAGTTGACAGTTTGATACTTTGAAAAGTTTGAGCCAGCCCTACCCCTAAGGGCTGTAGGGTGGGGCTCAAAGGAGTCAGTGTGCTAAAATTTCATCATTTTCCTTGTTTAGAATCAGAGGTGCTAGTTTCAAATACTTTTTAGTCTGAAATCTTTATGCTATATGCTTTGGGAAAATTTCAAAAATCTTCTTCTCTAGTTACAAAAATGCCAGGATCAAATACTACCCATAGCTGTAAAAGCGTTTGGGTGGTTTATAAAAATTGTGATTTTCATGTCTACCAGGCCCCCCGTTTGCCCCTGGTGAGGGGGTGAAATTTAGTATAGTTTATATAGGAAATATACATAATAGGCCATATCTTTCTAAGTTTTGAACGGAGTTTGCTCATATTTGACAGAATTACTTGTTAGTGGAGGAAGGTCTGCTGGTATAATTTTTGTGACCCTGACCCCCTAGGGGGCTGGGTTTGGGGTGAAAAAGGAGGCGAGTGGTTTATATACTTTGTGATTTTCATGTGCCCCAGGTCCCTCGTTTGCCTTTGGGGAGGGGGTTAAAGTTTGGTATTGTTTATATAGACAATTTGACTAATGAACAGCCATCACATACTTTTTATCTCCAACCCAACTAATGTGCTAGTAATAGTAACAACCTTAATAATTTATGAATTATAAAGTCTCCATAGTATTAGTAACACTTCCATGTTCTTACCCTGCATGTCTGAATCAGTTACAAATTGGCATTACAGAGCAAATGTAAATATTGTGTCATGATTGCTTAAATAACCAGGTGAGCAATACAGGCCCCCTGGGCCTCTTGTTATACAATGTTATGTGTAAATGTGCAATAAGGTCAAATTCAGTTACTTAAAATTGAAAAGGTCCTGTATACTAGCTGTCAAAATACATTGCATTGCTCTACCTTATCCACCAATGTTTTTCCAGTGGTAGATGGCATTTGGTGGATTTTTGGGATCCCAACATCCAAGATTAGCACTGGTCAAAGGTTAAGGTCACTTTTACTAAAAATGGGTGATATTATACTATATCATACAAATTGTGGCTAATAGTCTGGTCATTTTTCCTTGTTAGTACATGTATTATGTTTGATTGTAAATTGCATGTTGATTTAATACTATTATCACAACATGAAGATACATTCTTTTTCTCTTAATATTTGTTTTCTATATCTTTTAGGCTAATCTTACAAGAGACTTAGATAACATGGCGAAAACTGTCAATGGCACATCGGTAAGTATATGTTTTGCAGGGATATGCTTCTGATTATAATGTTATTTTACCTTAGGAACCTGACAGGGGTGTCTATTTTCACAAGTGAATTTTAAGCTTGTAATTAGCATATATATATAGTATTAATTGAAATGCATGCATTGGGTAATAATGTTAGCTGGAATTAATCTTGCATCCGTTGATCAACTTGCTTTGATAATGAATCTATCATAAAAGATTTTGTCTAAATTTAAGTCCTCATACTTAAGATTGGGATATAATAGTAATAAAAAAAATACCGGGATAATACACCTTTCACAATCAGTTAACTATTACTATTGGTAGATATCGTATTAGGACATTAGCACATTACTCATTTCTTTTCCTTTTTTTTTCATTTTCAGCTTATGGTTTCCATTGAATATACTGTCATAATCTTATTACAAAGTGGAAGTTAAATCCAGATACATAGTGCCTAATTGGTCAACTTTTATTCCCAGCTAAAACTAGCGGGACTCGTGATCAGTGTGGACATTTTTTCTTTTTTTTTGTCTCACTGAATGGTGGTAAAACCAGATTGGAGGTTGATTAACAGTTCATTAGTTGACTGTATAGATTTAAAATTTGTTTTCTATTTTCTTCAGGCCAAAGTAGACAAAGTGATTGAATGTCTCAACCAGACTGAGCTGTATATACATGCCAACACTTCAGCCCTCCTCGGAACGGTCAGTAATCTAATCTTCTGTTGATTACTACAAACATTTCTCAACTCTGTGTAATACCACTAGCAATGGTTCATTTGCTTATGTAAGTTCTCAATTGTCTACAGTTAGCACATGTTGAATGTTTGAATAGATAGGAAAATACAGATGGCTTAAAGGTGACTATCTTGGGTTAAATTTCTCAGAAAGTACTGTGGGAGATCTTTCTCAAATTTCACATGTGTAGGTTCCTCATGTTCCATAGATGTGGAAAATAATAAAATATAATGAGAGTTAAAGTTTGTTATCACTATATCCAAAGAATTACTTGACAGATCATTCTCAAATTTCTTATGTAAGTTTTCCTTGTTACCCACTAGATATTGTGCTAGTAAATAGATCAAACGACAACCTCATTGTGAAAAAATGATATCATTCAATGTCATATGAAATTTAATCAAAAGTTACCACTAAATGCAAAATTTTCATTTTACATGACTCAATCCCACAGATAATGAAGAGGAAAGATAAATCTATCATAGAACCATTGACGATAGTACGATGGAGGGTGCCAAGACCCCTCTAGGATATCTTGGTTTCAGTAGTAACACATGCAACTCAAGCTGTCCATACAATATATAAATATAAATGTTTGCGATACTATGTCCCTACAGTGATATTTTTCTATATTCACACATACCCGTATGTTAATATGTTATTCTGCATGCTTTCATTGGTGCTATTTTATGGAATGTAGTATTTGGTATTTCCATCTGTAATGAAAAGTAGCACTTTTCTGTTATTGAATATTGTAATCAAGTTATTATAAAATTAAACAGGCCTTGGGTCATATTGCTCATTTTGTCTCTCATGGAATTCAATTTGATAAGTTAATTTGGTACATGTATATCAATATAGATACAGCAAGCATAGTATTAATGCTTACTGTTTTAATCATGATAGTAATTTTTATATATTTGACACATTGTTTCAATAATATACTTGAATAGCATATATAATTAAATGATATCGGTAAACATAATACACTAGACATGTACTTACTCTTTCTACAGCTGGCCACAAATTTTGCAGATAGAATATTTGCTTCAATAGATTCCTTTATCAGCAAACTCTTTACTGCTGTAAGTATAATAGTTAAAATGTTGATATTCAATATTAATAACACTGATAGGATCACTTTGGACAATTAATTTAAGAAATTGTTCAGTTTTACAGGATCGCAATAAAAAATCACAGTGAAACACATTCACAGATTATCAATCACAAAAAAAAAAGAATTGGTGAAAAAGGGAAGTTTGTATGGTTTGTTTACAAATTTTGAATCAAAATAACAAATAATTGGATAGGATTAATAAAATAAGAGTACACAGATAAATTGTGTTCAGTACTGCAGCTTCGGAGGCTTTGGGTCAAAGCAATGGTTATAAGGTAATTGGGCAAAATCTTGCCTAGATACAAGTTCTTTTTCTTTTTGTTTGCTTGTAAATTAAGACATCAACTATTTTTCCATATATATAACTATTGACTTTTAATTCTAGTCTATTGAAAGCTAAAAGATAAAAGAGGGTGATAAAAAAGTTAGGAGAGCTCAATAACTTTTTATTTTTCAGCTGAAGACTGAATTGGGAAAGTGTGACCCAATCTGGAATCTATACAACAACTTTTTTGTTATCACCCTGTGTGGATACACTGTAGACACTCTGGTATGTAACTTTTTAACTTCATCACTAGACGATTTAAAATAAATTCATGATCAAGTGATGTTTTATGCAAAGGAAAGAAAATGATATGGTAATAATATCTGTCAAATTCCCTGCTTTTTCAAGTACTCATTTTAATCTTAAAACTACAGAGTTGTTTATGATGGCATGAAGTCAAGTACACTGTAACAACACATGTTTTTGATTCATGGCAGTGTATGGCTTATGGTTGAGTTACCTAACATTCATATATGATAACCAGAAAATCATAACGTTGTTAAAATATTTAAAATAAATGTACCCTATCTAAAGAATGATGCATTGTATTTTTTGTAGTACTAGGGATATGAGTGATGATTTCATCTTGTATAGATATTGCAGTTGAGTGCCAGCACTAGATTTGAAGAAATAGTGTATCGTCAATTAGAAATAAATATTATTGTTTGTATTGTCACAATAATTTTTAGGTCACCTGAGCTTTAGCTCAAGTGACCTATTGCTATCCGTTTTCGTCCGTCGTCGTCCGTCGTCCGTTAACATTTTACATTTCAAACTTAAAGTCAAGTTCTGCTGGGCCGATTGAACTGAAAGTTGGTAGGAATGATCGCCTCATGGTCCTGACAAAGTGTTGTTATTTTTTGGGTCGATCAGAAATCCAATATGGCCACCACGGCCGCCATTTTGAAAACCTATTTCAAACTTAAAGTCAAGTTCTGCTGGACCGATTGAACTTAAAGTTTGTAGGAATGATCGACTCATGGTCCTGACAAAGTGTTGTTATTTTTCAGGTCAATCATAAATCCAATATGGCCGCCACGGCCACCATTTTGAAAACATATTTCAAACTTAAAGTCAAGTTCTGCTAGGCCGATTGAACTGAAACTTTGTAGGAATGATTGACTCATGGTCCTGACAAAGTGTTGTTATTTTTCAGGTCGATCAGAAATCCAATATGGCCACCACAGCTGCCATTTTGGTAAACTATTTCAAACTTAAAGTAAAGATCTACTTGGCCGATTGAACTGAAACTTTGTAGGAATGATCGAATCATGGTCCTGACAAAGTGTTGTTATTTTTCGGGTCAATCAGAAATACAATTTGGCTGCCATGGCCGCTATTTTGCTACTAAGTTCTAATAGGCCGATCTCACTTAAAATTGGTCTAGGAATGATCAGCTCATGGTCCTGACAAAGTTAAGTTAACATTATACTATTTTTTACTCAAATTGGTACATATTTCAACCACAAAAATAAATACTGTTAACTCAGGTGACCGTTTAGGCCCATGGGCCTCTTGTTTTTGTTGAAATCCTTTCAGTATTTGAAATAAAAAAGTAAAATAAAACACAAAAGGCAGGAATCTGTCTGTGATCCTATACACTAAACCAATGTTGTCATTCAGGAAACAGAAATGAATAGCATCGCAATGGAGAACAATTCCTTGGCAAGGGAAGTAACTCTTAGTTAGTAAGCCTATATAATTAGGGAGCTTCAGTAGAAAAAACAGGGTTTAAGTGGAATCTTCTGCATGTTTCTAACTGATGCAGTGGCACCCTTTACCATTACCTTGAGATTTTTCTGTGTTACAGAATGGATTTTGGTTTGGCTTGGGATGGTGTCTATTCTTCTTCATACCTAGTATCATCTTCGCTGTCAAACTCGCTAAACACTTCCGTCGGATGAAAGAAGTGGAAACTGTAGATGAACATTTTGAAGATCCTAATTATGAGTAAGTCTGTTTGATAAAATTTGCAAACCTTATTTATATGATAACATTGTTTGATTATATTCATTATTCAAACACAAAAAGTTGATTTGTAAGAATTACATTTGATGAAAATTTCAAATGGTAAACATATATTTTTTATTACAAATTTTGTCAAATTCTTTTCTTGATGAAAAGCAATTTTTTGCAAGTAAGTTTAGTTTAAAAATGAAACTTACTATTTTTGTTTTCATCATCTTAGAAACTTACATTTATGTTGGAGTTGAAACATGTTTTATTATAAAAAATAAGTTTATTACATTCATTTCCAATCAACTCTGTTCTGGAAATAATATTTATCAATGGTTTAAATTTCCTGTTATGTTGCTCTGATAAATCTTCTTGGAAAAGAAATAGATAAATCATACAAGACTTCAATTAATTTTGTAGTTCAAATATCTTTAAAAAAAATGTTGTTGTTTTTTACAGAAAACGTCCAGTGCCTGAGCAGAAACGGTAAGAAAGAATATTTAAATCTGATACACTTATATACATACCGACAAAAGAAAACAATTATGCAAGTTTTAAAACTAGTAACTAATTATAAGATTGTATGGTTGGTATTTTCTAACCCAATATAATGAGTTATAAATAACACCTTGCAACATCAGATGTGTAACATCAGTGTGTTAAACTTAACTCAGAGAATTATAATAAAGTGCAGTCATTAAATATCATAAGTTTCCTTAAAAAACATAAAAAATACTGTGAACCAAATGCTTAAAAAAACAGCAGTCGTTGTGAACAAATTAAAAGAGTACCATTAGACCGAAAATAAAGAATTGGCAATTTTTGTTTATTTTAAGAGGACTGTTTGGCCAAATAATAAGAATTAGTAATACTGTGTAGGAGTATCATTTATCCAAAAATATATTCCGTCTTTGCGTATTGCAGAGTTATCTTCTCTTGGGAGCAGGTATTGATTGTTACGTCACTTGTTTGTGAGAATAACGTCATCAATTTTTGAGAAAACGACGTAATTTTCTCACACAGACCAATGACGTAACAATCAATACCTGCTCCCAAGAGAAGATAACTCTGCAATACGCAAAGACGGAATAGTACTAAGAACTAACAATCATTGTGTAAATTGTATTATGAAAACATTGTTTGACAAGATGCTATGGCTAAATCTAAGCAACATCAATACTAATATAAAAGCATTCATTGTGTATTCTATCTAGGAATACTGTTAAACAAATATTAAGAATTAGTAATCATTGTATATCATGAGAGTTCTGTTTGATAAAATACTAAGTAATAATGTTGGTTGTGTATAGCAAGAGCACAGTTTCACAAAATACAAATAATCTTTGTGTATTGTAAATATGTAAGCTTTTTAATCAAAGTCTAATAATTAGCAATCATTGGATATTGTACATACTGTTTCAGTGAAACCGCAATCACAGATGGCAATACTACTGTTTATGTTGTGCCCGATTCTTCAACAAACCCACCTATAGAAATCCCATCAAATAACGACAATTTATAAAATTCAAAACTAGATAGCCCTCCCCCTGGTTCAGGTCTTACACCAGTACCAACCCTGGAAGAATTGTACCCTAAAATTGATGGTACTTTCCCTAAACCAACTTCTTCCCTAGAGGCAAATTCAGATCAAACAGCAAATACACCTACACAACCGGGATCTTCCCAGGACAAATGGCGCCCACCCTCTGCACTTAGTAACAAATCTGTCAAGGACATAACACGCCCATCCACTGCACTAAGTAACACATCTGACAAGAACAAGTCGCGTCCTGTCTCTGCACTAATTAACACATCTGACAAGAACAAGTCGCGTCCTGCCTCTGCAACTAGTAAAAAGTCGTAAGTTCAGCAAAATATCCTTGATAGCTAGACAGGTCCACCAACCAAACTTGAAATCCATGCTGTTTTTTAATTTCGATGGTAGACTTAGACTGTCGTCATATGTTATTACCGTATTTGACCCACAATGGGCTTATGTTCCTATGTGCTAACCTCTATACCCATTTCCCAGCCTTTTGTTAGGCGCTTAGATTCCAGTATTCCTCTACAAAGACACCTTTATTTATTTATGATAAATTGCCTTACTGTCGTAGGTCTTTATTATTTTGTTGATTTATTGCTGTACATTTTACTGAAACAAACAGCTAGAGGAATGTTTGCTAATCAAATTGCAGGTTTAATTTTTTCCAAACTAATGATATTTTCCCAAACCTGTACATGTGGGAACACTGATGAAATTTTCCAACTTTTGCCAAATGCCGATGATATTTTCCCACTTTCTGCTCAGGGACCCTTTCCTAAAATAGCTGGCAAAACCCCTTGTTTCGGAAAGTTTAAAACAGAATCTGTATACAAATAAAACTAGAAAAGAGAGAGTCATGCACACGTTACCATTGTTCTTATAATGACATTGTCTAAACCTTTGCTTTATAATTTATAACATGTTATTGTTAAGATGACTCGTTTTAATTGGTTTGAGCGTGTACACTGATGAATAACCTGCCTTAATGTTAACTGGGATTTCAGTGCCCTACAACCTAGACACTTATTGGGTTGAATACTGTAGTATAGAATGTGTCTCGTATTGGTGTACTAGTTGGTGTTGAAAACTTTCTATGAATTCTCATTAAATGTCAACTTGTTGGTCTTCTTAAAAAATGGAAACTATCTTTTTCTTCATATTATTACATAATGGTTGCCCCCACATAAGACATTCCTGCCCAAGAAACCACCTGTCTATATCTAGCACCTTCCTTATGATGTCTGTCCTTTAGAGCTTCTTTCATTATATAATGTTAACCTGTCTGTAAAGATAAGGACAAATTGTCTTTAAAAATTAGGACACATTATCTTTATGTGACCGTTTTGCATTCTCACATTTTCGTTAATCATGGAGTTCAAGTATCTGGTTTGGCCTGTATTTTGTAATCAGCAATCACATGTATCCGTTTAATCCAGAAAAATACTCTTCGAGTGACTGCACAGCTTAAATTATATAAAATTACATATCGTTTTGCCATTTTCACATGATACTGGACCATTCATTCCAGTACTCAATAAAATAACCACACAAGCTTATGGTGTATCAAACAGGCAAGAGTTGATAACTTTTAAATCCACGTGTTTCATGCATATATGCAGTACACAGACCAGCTGTCACCTTCATCAGACAAATGATCATTCAAAAACGTCATTTGCCAGATTTATGGTAGTACAGAGTATGAGAGAGAAAAAAACTTAGTAACACTGGTAACAGAATGGTCATCGTAGACCAAGTGAAACAAACAACCATGTGTATAAATAGCATTGTTTGTAGGTCTCCTGATAACGTTAAATCACAATATTAAACTCAAAATTCATAAATCAGTTATGGTTCCAATAAAATCATTTTTAGCATAACAGTTTTCTAAAGAACACGACTGTGAAACATTTAAACATATTTAAAATGTTTGTAGTGTTAAATGGCGCTTGTGTCTTATTTGTAAACCGTAGTTAGTTACATATACAAATGTTAACTTTCACTATATCATGTGTAGAAACTAATATAGACTTTAATCTCGAACCATTATACAAACACGGGCAGCTTCATATAAATAATGATGATTCAGGCAATCTGTGTTCGATGTTTTCGCTCTCTGGTAGACTTGATGTATTACACTGTTGGTGCTGCTGCTTATCAAACATTTGCTCTGGCTCTCAAATTCATTTGTAATTACTGATTAATCGCTAGGTACAGAAATCAACGGAATAATTTTTGATTAAAGGAAGGTAAACTAGTTACAAATTTGTTGCAATATTCATCAGTTGGAAATACGTTTGGTTCTGTTTGTTCATTTTATATTTTTTTCTCTTTTTGCTATATTTTGCATGCTTTATTTGTTCTTTTTTAAAATACTTTATTTCTCAAGTCTTGATTTGTGTAAAAATATAAGGTAGCTAACATGTAACAAGATGGTATGATCTTAATTGATTTTTTTTGCATGTTGAAGGAGAAAAAACTAAGACAAATGTATGTTGATGTTCTATAGATATTTTAACTTGCTAACAGCTTTGTAACTCATATTTGGCATATATATATATGTTACCAAATTTTAAAGGTGTAATTACATGTATGCGGGTGTTACGTTCAGCTACACATAATTTTCGGTCTTATTTGATTTGCATTTGCAGCTATTTCATAATATATAAATACGACTTTTATTTAATTTGAAATCTACATAAGCTTATTTGTTATTTTTTCTGTATTTGATTGACCCTGCTATTTCTCTCTTTTCCCCCTCCAGAATTGACCATAGGCCTGTGTTCAAAGGGTGAGTACATTGCCGTGTACATTTGGAATATGTTATAAGTAGTACAATGTAGAACATCTCAACAGCTGAACTTTCTCAAAATCTTAGAAATCTGTCGATATGATAAAAATGGCAGTGTCACTTGATATGATAGGTCAAGTTTTACTCAAATTTTATCTTGCTGTTAAAACAAAAAGGCGTCGTCTGTATCACTGTATGCAGATATATCTACGCTTGCATAATAAAAATGGCACATACATGTTATATTGGTGTTGACCCATATTACGTACAAATAGGTTTCGTTACATATACATGAACTGCACATTACCGCCATTCTGCAGATATTTTTCAACTTTATGTGTAAATGGAATACTAATTTATAAATGATCAGCATACTGCTTACATAATGGAAGTGCTCTGTAAACAACGTGTTAAATGCGTGTTACCATGTAAGTGTAAACAAATTAATACAAAAATGTTTTGAATATTAAGACATTCACTCTAGAGGTGATACAGTTAACCAATTTTAGGGTGCTAAGCTACGTATACCGTGTCAACTTTTTTCCAGGTTTACTTTTGCTTCTGTTGTCAAATTACCTAAAAGGTATTGTTTGTCTGTTTACAGAATTGTGTGTGATAACAAGGCAATAACTCACTGGGGGAGGGATGTGTGTTATTATGGGAAAGTTGTGGAGTGATGTAAGGAGGGTTGTGTAGTGTTGTTACGGGTCCTACGTATACCGGCCTAGGATTATGCCTGGAAATTCATTAGCTTGACACACTCCCACTGTCAATGTACCAGAGGTCGTTCATATATGTTACAAAAATCTCTGAAAGACATCGAAATAAGGTAGAGGCCTAAGTTGATTTAAAAGAATTCCTTGATATATTTCAAGGTAACATTGGTCAGATTTGTAAAACCCTTGGATAACTTCTATTGAATAAACCGGGGTCCCGGGGTCACTACAGTCAATAGACTATTGCAAGGTCGTGGCATTTATATGTAATGTGAGCAATGTGCTTGAACAATATTTTCATCCTTTAGGGAAAAAACGACTGAATTTGACTTCCTTAAAATTTGTTATCAAGCTGTTTTAGTGCAGTGTTGGATCGCCACACTTAATAGGCTGTTGAATGATACAAAAATGACACTATGATTGATATGGAGTGTAAGCAATATGCTGTACTATATTTTCGTATCTTAAGGGCAAAAACAGCTAAATTTGACTTTGTTAAGGTTTTTAATCAAGTTCTTTCGTGCAATGTTGGATCGCCTCACTTAAGAGGCTGTAAGGTTGAGGCATTGTTATAGATATAAGCAATGAGCTGGACCATAATTAGTAACCAGTGGTCTTATAACCAAAAGGTCTTCATTCCAATTAGTTCACTTTTAACCTTTAACTGGAAAATATTGATAACTATATAACTCAAGTTCACAGGTATATCCTCATATGCTAACAACTTGCTGTGCAACATTTTATGATGCCGTACAATTCTAAACGATTTCATTTACTAATATGAATAATATAAATTTACTTTTATTTTTATAACGTTTTAAAGTATTCAGATATACTATACACACTAACCCTATGAGTGAGCCCATGTTTTGTAGTGCGCGATGTCTCCTGTATGTAAAAATGCATGTATTTCAAGTAATATTTACTAACATGTCTGGCCAACAGGCGAGCAATATTTTTTCTTCAACAGCTCTTGTTTTTAAAGCGTAAAGTGCATGTTTTGAACTTAATAATATTACAAAAAAGTAGCGTGTTTGCTGTCAACTTTAATTATAAGTTTGAAATTTACCTACTATGAAAGTCACAGACAATAAATGCAATTATCTATTTCATGATATAATAAGTGATCGATACAGCTCATAAGGACCTCTTGTTATGAATAAGAAAGCCATATATAATGAAGTGAACGAAATATTTGACATAAATGTATATGAATTAAACTGGTCCAAGTATTGAGTATTTTTATTTTGTCAACTTATTTCATTGTCTTTAGGAACATTCATTTAGTCTTATCACAACTATTCATATCGACCACATCTTTTTCTTTTGAGGAAGACCAAAAATAAATAAAATTCTGTGAACGTAAAGTATACCTTTTCTTATTCCACAGCTTCGAATATGTGTCTTCTCGGGTTTTTGTTAGCGTATAATAAAATTGAAACGTGGTACTGTATTAGAAGTGATTCACAATCCATTATTACATTGTAGTTTGTGAAAAGTTATCAAAATGTGAAATGATATTAAAGGCCAACTAAACCTTTCCAAGCAAGTGGGTGCCTGTCTATCGTCTACTTTGATCTTTTCTGATTATTTTATTATATGTTTTGTTAAGTCGTTTACAGTTTTATCGAAGAACGTAAAACATCGATTTGAAATACTGTTTCAGCAACAAGGTCAGCCACGCCGACGATCCCGAAAAGAATGGTCAAACCTTTCCGACATACGCAGAGGCTTGGTAGACAGTGCATACACTAGTGCAGATCTTGTAATTGATAGGCACGACATGGAACACTGGATTGGACATGCTTCAACAGTTGTTGATTTCTAGACATTGTGCGTTGTAGTGAATATATATGCAATTCATATGCATTTGTCGGCATACATAGCAAAATGGATTTGCACAGCGGACTCGGGAAATACTGAATAGCGCTTGTAGTTCCCATGGGTTTCTGTGCGCTATTATTGGTTTTACCTTTAAAAATAAGAATGCGAAATAACATGGCGTATTGGTAGCCATCCTAAAAGAGAATTATTTATGATTTTAACTTAAGTTTTACGCGAAATTTATACTCTGAGAATTTGGTTTAGAAGCAAAACTGCAAAAGAATGTCCCACTAAATTAAAAGGCTACAGAGATAGAGTACAATTGCATCGAGCAGCTCCGAAGAGCACCAATATTTATATATAAATCCAACAAATATATTTGAAACGATGAAGAAAGTTTTAGTAAAGAATAACTAACATCCATATTGTGTCCTTCATTGTATTTCCCACCTAAGATACAATATTGTCGTTGCGCTTTTTTGGTACACTAAAACGTATATATTTATGTAGCCAACACCCGTTTATAGCTAAGGAGTGTTTTGACATTTTTTTAGAGTTGTTTCACTGTTATATAGTACTATATCTTGATGAAATACAAATGAATGAGACTTATATCTCAGTCACCATGATTATAGTGATTTAACCACTGTTAATAACATTGAGATAGTACTTTTCAAGATTGATTGTCATAATGCTTTTCGATCGGATAAGAAGCAGATTTCGTGAAAACATTGCATGTTCAATAGACAAGTTTCTGGATAGTTCATTGTTATATGCATGTATGCATTTAAATTGTGCCTATCGTGATATTAAGCTGATCATTTGTGGCATAGATAGACAAATTCAAATAATCTGTGATATCAAAATGATTTGATTTAAGAAAACGTGTTGATTTCTAAGTTATGAATACTAGACAATCATCAGAAAATAGTCGTCGAAACACTTGCAGTTTTTTGTTCACAAATTGTATAACACATTGTAACATTAAGGCTTAATTTTAGTATGGAAACAAATTTTCCAGGCGGAAACATAGATTTTTTTATTCCGATTTCTCGTGCCCGTTATTATAAATGTGATCGAGTCATAAACGCAAAATTTCAAACTGATATTTGAGAAACATGTAAAAAGTGAAAATATTTTGGGCTTTATTTCTTAAAATAATCATTCTGGATGCACTTAAATGTAATTTTCGTTTTTAATTAAAATCTTAAGAAAGTAAACTTGATTAAAGGTTTGCATTAACTTGTCAATAAGCTAAGCCGGTTTTGAACAACTTGCTCCAATTAAAACAGTAATATGACCCCGATCTTCATTACATTGTGGTCTTAAATTCAGTTTGTAACTTACTTACTTATCAGTTTAATTTTCAAATTAGAAAAAAGTTAACTTATAACTCACAAAATGTTTCTAGATTTTTTTTTGTATGTGTAAGATTTGAACCATGAAAATATGAAGAAACAATTCTATCAATTTTTTAACAGTTAAATGTCGCATTTCTATGTTATATCTTAATGTCAAACACTAGAATAAATTCTATTTTTATAAAAGTGTATTTTATGAATGTTTTGTTTGAAAAATGTACAAACATTCCAGTTACATGTTCATTGGATATAAATCAGATCTATTGTGTAAACATGATATTGTTGTCTTTAAATCAAATAATAGCTTAACATGCTTGATTGTAATATGAACTGATGCAATTAAACTTATTTCTGCAAATAGAAATTTTGCATGGCGTAGAGAACCATGATTGTACAAATTGATTAACAGAACAAATGTTTTTACCTGCAGGGCAAAGTACCTTTTTTATGTACTATAAGACAAGTTTTACTAGTGTTAGTAGTAGAAGTTGGGGCTGCAACAATATATCTTATCGTGTCGCGTTAATTTCTTTTGAATCGTATCGAAGTGTTTTGTTTGCCTGTATCGCTATATAATAACTACTGAAATTATCAATTGATTTTTATCAAACTCTTAAAAGGTGAACTTATTTTTTCAAATCCTTCAGTAAAGATGTGGTCCACAGTGCAGTCATACCCAAAAATACTAAAACTAAAATTAATACACATATTTTTTGACAGTATTTACTATTGAAGTGTATGATATGACTAGATAAGCTTCGTAGCGCAATACGTTTCGTATCGTGAGATATGTGTATCGTTGCAGTCCTAGTAGAAGTAAAATAATGCAAATATTCATAATAGGAAAATTAACAAATTTCCTGAATCATCGGTGTGATATCCTCGCAAAACATACTGATGTGACTAGCTAATTCGTGGAATTCAATACTTGTAGTTCACACGTGCTTCATACAATCTATACACAAGTTCCAATTTGGCATCCTTTTGCCTTTTCTTAATATAGTATAAGTATGGTTTTTAAAGCTAACCCTAAATATAAAGGTAAAATGAAGATACGTTAATTATTCACGACTGTAGAAATTGATCTATGGTGGATATAAATGTATGCTTAGTTGAGAATGACCTGGTAAGTTTTATATTGTGTCTGTTTTGGAACCAAACTTGCCATCTATGATATTGATTTATTCATATGTATGATTATATCCGTCCTTTTCATGTGTGACTTTAACTTATGATTTATGTCATGAAATTGTTATTATTTTTTGTTTCTTTCTAATGATATATTTTTCTTTTTTTTCTCTATTAATACTGTTATTAATTTATTGATTTTTACTCGGAAATATCTTATCGTTAATCGTTTTCCAAATCGAAATGATTCCGTCCTATGTATTTCATTTCCTTTTTCAATTGAAAGATGTACATGTGATACTGATAGTCATCTGTTTTCTATAAATCTGAATGTGTTACTTTTGTAATTTATATTTCTTTTAAAATTTCGTCATCAGAATACAATAACTTAAATGTGTTACCTTGGAAATTTTAAGAAATCGTTCGTTCTTCATCAAAATACTTTTTGAAGTTTTGTATCGGCATACTTTTGTTTTGTTTATGTGATTGATTATTTTCTGATTAACTTATATTTGATAAAATATCGTTATTTAGCAGACAGTGTAAACAAGTGTATCTATTTGCTTTAAATAAGGTAAGATGTAATATTTCTAGACGTTTTATTAATCTTATTAAAATACAAATGTACATGTATATATGTTTAATTCCGACACGTTATGAAGACTAGGGTAGTGGTATTGAAGATACGTAAAACTCCCGTTAGTACTAGGTCAAAGTTCTCTTAACTCATTTACCCCTGAAGACACATTTGAACTCTTCCAGTTGAAAGGTTGGAATAGTTTATTATGAAATTTCAGGGGTGAATAAGTTAAAAAAGACCTCGACAAAACCATTCTTTCAGAGACCACACTTTGTATCTAAATCAACAGACTTATATGTTGTATCTTCTTTCTGTTCAAGATAATGAAATCTGAAAATTATTTCAAAATGGTTGCTTCTACAACGAAATATTTTTAGGTCACCTGAGCTTTAGCTCAAGTGACCTATTGCTATCCGTTTTCGTCCGTCGTCGTCCGTCGTCCGTCGTCCGTCGTCCGTTAACATTTTACATTTCAAACTTAAAGTCAAGTTCTGCTGGGCCGATTGAACTGAAAGTTGGTAGGAATGATCGCCTCATGGTCCTGACAAAGTGTTGTTATTTTTCGGGTCGATCAGAAATCCAATATGGCCGCCACGGCCGCCATTTTGAAAACCTATTTCAAACTTAAAGTCAAGTTCTGCTGGACCGATTGAACTGAAAGTTGGTAGGAATGATCGCCTCATGGTCCTGACAAAGTGTTGTTATTTTTCGGGTCGATCAGAAATCCAATATGGCCGCCACGGCCGCCATTTTGAAAACCTATTTCAAACTTAAAGTCAAGTTCTGCTGGACCGATTGAACTGAAAGTTGGTAGGAATGATCGCCTCATGGTCCTGACAAAGTGTTGTTATTTTTCGGGTCGATCAGAAATCCAATATGGCCGCCACGGCCGCCATTTTGAAAACCTATTTCAAACTTAAAGTCAAGTTCTGCTAGGCCGATTGAACTGAAACTTTGTAGGAATGATCAGCTCATGGTCCTGACAAAGTGTTGTTATTTTTTAGGTCAATCAGAAATCCAATATGGCCGCCACGGCCGCCATTTTGAAAACCTATTTCAAACTTAAAGTCAAGTTCTGCTGGACCGATTGAACTTAAAGTTTGTAGGAATGATAGACTCATGGTCCTGACAAAGTGTTGTTATTTTTCGGGTCGTTCAGAAATCCAATATGGCCGCCACGGCCGCCATTTTGAAAAACTATTTCAAACTTAAAGTCAAGTTCTGCTAGGCCGATTGAACTGAAACTTTGTAGGAATGATCAGCTCATGGTCCTGACAAAGTGTTGTTATTTTTCGGGTCAATCAGAAATACAATTTGGCTGCCATGGCCGCTATTTTGCTACTAAATTCTAATAGGCCGATCTCACTTAAAATTGGTCTAGGAATGATCAGCTCATGGTCCTGACAAAGTTAAGTTAACATTATACTATTTTTTACTCAAATTGGTACATATTTCAACAAAAAAAAAATACTGTAGACTCAGGTGACCGTTAAGGCCCATGGGCCTCTTGTTTTATCTTAGTATGGTATCTATTGCAATTTGTTTCAAATCAAGTGTTATTTAGTGAGTTTAAAATGAATACATATTTCACGTGATACAGTGTAACGCGCAATAGCTTTATTTTCTGTGGTATATTTGATTGTTAAAAACGTATTTTCATTAAAAGCCATCAATAAATTTTTATTTGAAAAAAAACTACCTTGTGTTTTGCTTCCGATATTTATTTCACTACAATATTGAACGTTTTTTGGAAATTCATTCTTATGAAGAAAATTTCACAAATATTTCTGCATTATATCTTTTTATCAAAAGCCTATCTTATCAGCGCGGCTGCTCTTGATACACGGGGAAAGAGAGAACGTACCACTGTGTGACACTCACAACAACACTTTTCATGAAAATTTCGTTATAGCTAGTAAACATGAATTTGAAGATTGGACTTTTTGAATGCTGCTACATTCTTTGTATATTTTCCGAGATAAAATGATTTTAACAAATAATGTATATATTGATACTTTTCGTCATTAAACTGTGTTCCAACACAACAAGGTTTGGGTGATAAGGATTAGCAGTTACATGTACATTTATGACTGGGAATTAACAGAATTCCACAATTCACAAACGTTCTGCCAAAATTGGGTATAATTAAAGTTTCAAATATGTATAATTTTAATTTTAACTGAAGTTCTATTTTCAACGTAAGAGGGATCGACAGTTATGCAGGCGATTTCTTTTTCTCTTTAAATTCTATTTTGTTTCTTAACGTTTCTATATGTTACCTAGTTTCGTGTAATAGAAATGGCATTACTATACTTTTTTTTAAAGGTACAACTTTTCCCACGTTCACAAGACAGTAAGTGAATGTTTAACGTGGATTTTTTTCGGGACTGTTTTTGATCGACCAATGACCAACCTTGTCATTTTCTTTGTTTCATGAATGGATCATGTGAGCTTAAATTATACGATAGTAATGACAATTATTATTTCCGCTTAAGTGTGTTGTGGGAGTAATGTGTAGTCTAGGATCCGACAACCATTCCACATACACTAGCTGTGGTTAGCTTTACACAAGATAGGACTCTGCATTGTTATCCTGATAATATAGAGCAGGATCGTTTGTAAAATGTATTAAATCAAAAATTAGTAATATTAACGCAACAGAGACATTTTTTAAAAATGTGATAAGTTATATTTTGTAATAAAGAGGACCATGTAAAGCCTAAAACCCGCTAAACAATCGCATGCGAAGGAATTTTGCAGACAATTATTCCAAATATTTTTAGAAGAAATTTGGTTGTTACAAGTGAAATATTTTGAAAAAAATATTGCTGGAAAATACAGATATGACTTAATCTTTCCTACCAAGCTTGCTTTCATAGCTTTATATTCTTATGCGATATATATAAAAAAAAACGCCTGACATATCACATAATTGTTCATGCAGGTTGTAAAATAGTTCGTCTGCTTGTAGGATAAGCTTCTTTTATTTTGGTTGATTTATTTATTTTCATTATTCAAGAGAAGCATTCTAGTTGGTCAAAATGATATTTTTATTTTAGTTTATGAACCTTACATGTGAATTAATACTAACAAGTAGTTTCTTTGCAATATTTACATCATTTAACATATTGATAGTATTCCTGTGTTCAAAATACTTTTCGTCATATCAGCATATTTAAATTTGCATTTTCAATTAAGTTCATTAAAACCCAAGTAATACTTAGAAGCCATACACGTAAGGAAATGATACGTCAAAAAATGAATGTTCTTGATAATAAAGACTTTCTGCTTAAAAACATGGACACAATTAAAACAGTTAATTCATTTTAAGGTGTATGACAGCGCTATCCTGACATAACATAGCAGCTTGTCGCTTTTCACTGTACATGACCAAGTCCTTTACATGATTGTGTTTCCGCTGACCTGATTACAAAGTAAAACGTGATCGACCGGATAACCATGACAGCTTCCTTTGAGTTATTGCGACATTGATTCAAATACAAAAATGAATGACTTAATCTCTATGCACTAAATTTACTAACCCACCATTACATCTGTCAATACTTCAATCAGCACATTCATAGTATTCTTCCATCATTGGAAATCTCGATAGAGATTGTTGCGATGCCTCTTCTTTTTGCTTTATTCGCGTTAACTTTAAACGCCATTTGGTATTGTTCGCAAATGTTTCACCAACACGTGAAACCCAAACAAAAAGAGAAAAGGTGACTGGTACCAAAAGGAAACAAACAATAACCTTCCAGGAGAATCTGTATTTCCACGGTTGTTTCAGAACACCATTACACCAGTACTGCACTTGAATAAAACACATATAGATTAAGAATACATGTGCATACACATTTTATTTTGCCTCTTAAAAAAGTATATTATACTTTTGTGACTCATAGAGTTCGACAAAATATAACACCTTAATATGTAAATTTCAAGAAAACAAATGTAAAGTGAAACGTCCACTACATAGCCAGTTAGTGTCAACCATTATAAAAGGAGATATTTTCATTGAATCTGTTTCGTTAGAGACATATATTCAATATTAGAAATCAGCACACTGAAATATTTTACCTTAGTCTTTTTGTGGATGCTCCTGTTATTCCTTTCATCTTAGTACCATATAGTGTATGTCCCTGTTGATGTCTTGTGTGGAATTCCAATTTTTCTATTATGTGTTGGCGTTATGGAACCTTTTTTTTTAATTGAGGGGGTCCGAAGGACCATGGTGAGTTTATGCCATACCGCAGCGTTCGTCGTCCGTCCATCAACTTTTCCTTTAAAACGCTACTTGTCCTGAACGGCCAAGTGGATTTTGACTAAATTTGGTCTGGAGCAGCCTTAGCCCAAGGGGACTCAATTTTGTATAAAAAGTGGGTGTTGGCCCCTGGGGGCAGAGGGGCAGGGCCTAATATTGGAAATAGAGGTAAAACCTTTAAAATCCATCTTCTAAAATCTATATTTTGTATAAACGTTGGGTCTGACACCCTGGGCAGAGGGGCGGGGCCCAATAGTGTAAACATAGCAAATTCTTCAAAATACTTCTATTTTTTTAGGAATGACAGGATTTTGTCCAAATTTAGGACGAAGCACATATGTGTGAAGGGGAACCAATTTTGTATAAACTGTTGGTTTTAACCCCCTGAGGCAGAGGGGTGGGCCAAATAGGGAAAATAGAAAAATAGTTTTAAAATCCTTCTTCTGTAGGAATGACAGGATCATGTCCATATTTGGTCTAAAGCATATCCTTGGGTGAATGGGAACTGAATTTGTATCAACGGTGGGTCTGCTTCCCCTGGGGCAGAGGGACGGGGCCCAATTGTGGAAACATAGCAAATTCTTCAAACTCCTCCTTTTACTGTAGGAATGACAGGATTTTGTCCAATTGCATTCTGGCTAACATTTCCAGGTGAGCGATACAGGCTCTCTGGGCCTTTTGTTTTTCTTTGTCCTTTTAACGATTTTGGCAAGGTCGCTTAGCAAGACGTGTGGACATTTCAGTCAAAAGCACCAACTTTGCTCAAGTGCAATTTGCACATAAGCCTTTAAAGTTCTAGGCACCACTTCATACAGAAGCCGTCCATCTTAGCAGCTTAATAGGATAATACTTGGTCGAGGTTAAGGGACAGTCTGAAAACTTGGTATTTATCGTCGGACTGTAGGGGCACTATGAACGCTTCAGGTTTGGTCGAAATGATGAGAAGGTCGCAATACTTCAGTCTCTGGTGTAAAACTATTTACACTAACTCGTTTGGTCGAGCTTATGGGGTAGTCTACTCTTTAGTCTTGGTCATGCTTCAGCGACAGCCTGTCCTCTTCAGCTTGGTCGAGCTTAAGGGATAGTCTGAACACTTCCGTCTCCGGTGTTTACACTGCCTATCGGAACATGATTAGTTGAGCTCATGTGACACTTTGAACTCTCCCGTAATAGTCGCGCTTTAGAGACAGTCTTCCACTTCAGTATGATGTTCAGACATCTTCGAAACTCCAGGGGTTATTCTCCCCTACCTTCTCTTCATCCTTGATATATATATGTCATTACAAAATTGAATCCTCTGTGTGCACCACCTAGTGGATGATACAAATAGACCAGTTTGATCTTTGAGGCCAATAAAAAATGCGCTTCAGCGTAACGGTAATGCTTTTAAGTCGTGTCTTCAAATTTACCAATACATATAACAGCTTTTCAGAAAACGTTAGGGAGCATAACACCTGGAATTTCGATATTGGTGTTCGGAATGTTTACCAAAACAGTTTAAATGATTATTTGTAAAATGAAAGACTTGTTTGGATACTTTTTCAGTAAAGCTCCGATTTCATCTAACATGCCTCGTATGTTTTCAATTTCAAGGTTCTATTGACAATTCAGTATCCTCTTAATGTTTTTGCCCTTTTGTTTCGGAATTAATTGGAAGAGAAAACACCCACTATTGAGCGATATTTGTATATATGATCGATATATACATGCAAGTAATACAAAATACAAAGGACATTTTTTATATAATACATGTAGAAATAATTAAGACTGCAAAATAACACAATTAATAAATTAATCAAATGTAAAACATTTTTCTGTCATATAGTGGCCACGGTAACCCTGCTGACCGTGCAGTACAGGCCTCCTTAATGATAGGACAGATTGTTACGGAGAAGTGACAGTAAAATTAACAAAAATATATTTAGTAAAATGGTAATTATCATCAAATCTGAAACACATCAGACCAGAGGTAAACACATTTAATCACTCCAATTTAAAACGCATTTTTTTATCCAAACACAGAGTATTGCTTATATCAGAACACTGTCTATAATACCATCGATGTAACTTGACCTTAAACGTATTTTATGTTTTAAAAGGTTGGTTAACCTACCTGTCAATCTACTATCGCTGTGTCTTGTCGATGGCAGGTACGCGGAAGCAGAGACGGAAAAATTAGCATTTTTTATTGTTCATATTTTTTCTGATAACTTTGAGGTAAAGCAAGGATTATAGTTATACATATAAGTAATGCTTAAGAACAGATGTTTTTTAGTTGGTAGTAATTAATTTTTCCTGTCTTGTTTACAAGAGTTAAACCTATGTGTCGATTAAGCAGGCGCGTGCTGTGGTGGTCCTATTAGGATCGATCGCTGACATTTAAAACAGACAAGCTTGTGTCATGACCCAACTGATGACTTGTAGAATAAATATATTTCCTTGTACTTTTTTTGTTGTTCACAAAAAAATCAAACGAAAATAGTATAAAGGCTTCGATTTTCAGATTTAGCGTCAGTTCCACCAAATAGCCGTTCTACGCCCTCAACCGACGATCTCCTCGTAAGTAACCCATTACGGTACTCTTCCATTACAACTGTTTTAAGTATAAGTGTATATGGATAACAAAATACTCAATTTCAAAATTGATAAATTTTCTAAAAGATTTTGGTAGCAATAGCATCTTACAAGAAGTATTGTTGCCATCTTCATATGTTTGCGATGTTAAATACATTTTTTTGGTATCTAAACTAAATGCAAATAGCTAGCTATTATAACAACACAAATATACAAAGCTTCAGTTGTTTTGATATTTGAAGATTTAATCTGTAATAACTGATCATTTGATGTCTACATATGCCTGTAATTAGTTCGCGAAAGATACATGTAGCACCATGAAAGGAGTTACAAGGAAAGGACGGGTGCCGACTTAAATATTTCACTTCATCATAGCAGATAAGCTTGATTGTTTGCAGAAAACAAGTTTTCTAATAGTTTATAATGAAATGGGGGTTCTTTCGTGCATCAATCATCTCCTGTATAGAACAATGAGGAGATTTAGTTGACAAAAGATAATATGTTATACACATTGATGTTTTCATTTTTGAAATATTAATATTAATATGTTGATAATATATAATATTACATATCTGTTCTTATTTATAAACAAATCTGAAATTTTCTTGATTGATAAGTTGTTTTATATGAATTAAATTGCTACACTAGGGCTTAAATACAACATGTAACTATTTACATCTTAGTCTTCTTGATAGATAATTCGATGTTGCATCGTCATATACAGACGCTATTGCAGGCGACAAAGATAAATACATATATCACTTAACTTGATAAAGGGGATGATTTGAACATAGAAAACGGTAAACATGTCCACGACTTCAAAATAGCTGTGATCAAATATCTGAATAATACCGTCAGTCCTACTAACAAATAGTTGTGTGTCTATCTAAAAGTCGTTTCAAGTCCGTTTAAGTCTGTTTAAGTCTGAGGTATGTGCACAATATTCTTTTGCTAAAGGATAGGGAAATATCCTCAGACATTTGATACATTGTATTGATGTATGGACATAGTATTATGCACAAACGAAACCTATTCCATTTGGTAAAAAACTTTGAACTTGATTTAGTTCGCTTTTAAATAGCATTGATTTTACACTAAATGTAATTGCTATATCTACGATCTAAGATAAAATACTACTTCTCTGACATTTGGTAATGATACAAACGAATATTCCTTCGTTTTTTTATTTTAGTTTTGTTGTCTCCTGAATAGAGTGTATTGACAGAGACACCATTCCAATGGTCTTATTTGTACCTGTATGTGGTCAAAGTATCGTCCAGTAGATACTGATGGTCAACTAAGTTTTGTAATAGATACAACCAATTACTTTCGTCCCTAGCATTTCGCTGCAATTGGTAAATACATTGAAAGGACATTACAAAAGATAAGTGACGGCCATAGTGTTTTACAACCTTTAGTGCTTATACCCCTCCTTTTTCTTCCTGTAACCTCAATTGTATATATTTTATATATTATTTACCCTAGTCTGTTTGAAGTTATTTTTATATTTACAACTGACATTAGATTTTATTCTTTGAATTGTAGTTTGAAGCGTATATTTTTTTAAAACGTGTTTTCAGTTTTCCGATTTTGTTCATCCGTGTGCCTCTCTCAGGGCTCTTAAATTATAACACCACTGCTATTTAATATGACATAAAAGCCATTATTCCTCAGTTTAAGTAAATTTTACAAGATTGATACTATGCAAAAATATTTTTGATATAAACAAGGGAACGATTCGTCAGCAACGTTATTATTATAGATTTGATACACAATCCTGAAATGACGGGACTGAGGTTAAACATATATACTAGTTCATTTGAGATATAACCACGATATGATTGGATTGATTGCCCGATTGAAACTGGTAACATACGACACAATCTGAGTAACGGATACTAGAGGGATGATGTGTCTATATTTTGAACTCGTACGTTATACATAAACGATTATATCACAACTGTAAGGCAAGCCAACTCACAAGTTTTTCAAGGAGTGATATCGATCATGTATTCAAAAATATTATAGAAGATTTCGTATATACCTGAAGCATAAATTATATATAATTAAGTATATAAATCGTCTTATAAAGTAAAGGAGACATCTTATATATTGTAGAGGATATCTAGAAATTAAATGAGATATGTCTCATATACTTAATCAGATACCTCATTTATGTGTAACGTTTCTTGTATATCAAATTAAAGAAGTATCAATGATATGCTATGTGATATTTAGAGGATCTAACACGAGTGTTAATGTAATATTGAATTTATTAAGCGAGTCACTTAATGCCATATGAAATTAATAAACGAGTTTAATAAACTCAATATTACATGAACACGAGTGTTAGATTATATTTATAACATCTTGGATACATGAAATTTCTGTATTATATGAGATATATTATACAATTTATCATATACATGTATATATAATTTTATGAAACGCATGTTCGATATTGCTCCATAAATTCATGTTATTTTTTTTGCTATACAACTCCTCGGGAGAGAATGGAATCAAGTGTACAATTCAACATATATATTTTAATTTCTGATTTTTTTTATTTTGCTTTTGTTGATTTTTGTTTTGTTTTGCTTTTGTTTACACTTTTGTATTGAAACAATAATAGTAAATGTCTGAATATATAATGTTTATCCTGTTTTGGTAAGAATACATATGAATTGATCTGTTCTATTTTCAGCTTAAAAAGCCATGATGCTTGCAGTCGCTTTACTATGTCTGCTTGTCGGAACAGCGGTTGGCACATTCCCGATGACGGGCGGAAGTTCAATGATGGGCGGGCGTTCAATGATGGGAAGTTCCATATACAGCCCCGGATATAGTATGGGCGGAAGTTCGATGTACAGCCCCGGGTACTCCATGATGGGCGGAACTATGGGCAGTAATTCGATGTACAACCCCAGTTACAGCATGATGGGAGGACGAATGGGCGGAAGTTCAATGTACAGACCCAGTTACAACATGATGGGAGGAGGCATGAGCGGAAGTTCAATGTACTACCCCAGTTACAGCATGATGGGAGGAGGTATGGGCGGAAGTTCGATGTACAACCCCAGTTACAGCATGATGGGAGGAGGTATGGGCGGAAGTTCGATGTACTACCCCGGTATGATGACAGGGGGTATGGGCGGAAGTTCGATGTACTACCCCAGTTATAACACGATGGGAGGAGGTATGGGCGGAAGCTCGATGTACAGACCCAGTTACAGCATGATGGGAGGAGGTATGGGCGGAAGCTCTATGTACAACCCCAGTTACAGCATGATGGGAGGAGGTATGGGCGGAAGTTCTATGTACAACCCGAGCTACAGCATGAGTGGCGGATCTTCTTACCCATACATGGGAGGAAACGTTGGAGGAGGTGGCAGAAGTGTATCCATAAGTAAGTTGCTAAGTTGCTGACGTAGTGATTACAAATGGTAAATGTATGGTTAACTGTCATAAATGTATATGCAAGGCAGCAGTGGTAAGTATTATATGCACGTCGAAGAAGCAGCCAGTATTATATTAACAAGATAGAAACAAGTCAGTATTGTACATACGAGGTCGTAGTCATTATTGTTTGTACGTGGTAATAGTCAGTATTTTATGTATGAGGTAGTAGTGTGTATTATATGTACGGTGTAGTGGTCGGTATTATATGTATGAGGTAGTAGTGTGTATTATATTTACCATGTAGTGGTCGGTATTATATGTATGAGGTAGTAGTGTGTATTATATGTACAATGTAGTGGTCGGTAGTATATGTATGAGGTAGTAGTGTGTATTATGTGTACGATGTAGTGGTCGGTATTATATGTATGAGGTTGTAGTATGTATCATATGTACGATGTAGTGGTCGGTATTATATGTATGAGGTAGTAGTATGTATTATATGTACGATGTAGAGGTCGGTATTATCTGTATGAGGTAGTAGTGTGTATAATATGTACGAGGTAGTAGTCGGTATTATATGTACGAGGTAGTAGACGGTATTATATGTATGAGGTAGAAATGTGTATAATATGTACGAGGGAGTAGTCGGTATTATATGTATGAGGTAGAAATGTGTATAATATGTACGAGGTAGTAGTCGGTATTATATGTATGAGGGAGTAGTGTGTATTATATGTACGATGTAGAGGTCGGTATTATCTGTATGAGGTAGTAGTGTGTATAATATGTACGAGGTAGTAGTCGGTATTATATGTATGAGGTAGTAGTGTCTATTATATGTACGATGTAGTGGACGGTATTATCTGTATGAGGTAGTAGTATGTTTTATATGTACGATGTAGTGGTCGGTAGTATATGTATGAGGTAGTAGTCGGTGTTATATGTACGAGGTAGTAGTCGGTATTATATGTACGAGGTAGTAGACGGTATTATATGTATGAGGTAGAAATGTGTATAATATGTACGAGGTAGTAGTCGGTATTATATGTACGAGGTAGTAGTCAGTATTATATGTATGAGGTAGAAATGTGTATAATATGTACGAGGTAGTAGTCGGTATTATATGTATGAGGTAGTAGTGTGTATAATATGTACGAGGTAGTAGTCGGTATTATATGTACGAGGTACATTGTAGTAGTCAATATTGTATGCACGAGGTAGTAGTCAGTTTTATAGATACACTGTACGAGGTATGAGTCAGTGTTATATGTATGAGGTAGTTGTCAGTGATATATATACACATGGTAGTTGTCAGTGATATACATGTATATAGATATATACATGGTTGTATGTACATGTACCTGGTATTAGTCAATAGTCGTTTTGTTATTGTTATTATTCACTTTTGTAGCATGTCTTAAATAGAATGGGTGTTTTAGCGTTTAGATTCAATCCAACATGCGATGTTGTCGTGAATTATGGTATAAACTGATAAACTAGATTTAACTAGAACTTAAATGCACCTTAACTAGATTTTGTTAACATTTAAAATATATTATGTTTGTTTTTATCACAGTTAAGAAACGTGGAGGATCCTACTAGACACTGGTACCCGGACACGACCGGCCATACGCTTCGGAATTGGACTTGTAATGAAGTATGATTTATACATTTATATATTAAACTTACGCAACCAAAGCTGAGAACATTGTGGATTTCTTTATTACAGTTTCGTAGTACCAACTCAAAACACATAGGGTATTTTTCATAATCTCCTTCGGACATCCGACCATAGCTCGCGCGAGGTCTTGCGAGGGAGATATCTACATTATGTGTGTTAATGTTTAGCATACAAAGTTTAACATGACAAATCTTTCCATTTAAAGATTTTGTAGAAATTATGGTTATTAATGTTTTCTAATTGTGAATTATGTTTTATCGGTAAGTACATATTTATCATTATAATGTTTAGTCCTTATTCTAAAATCGCATAATGTTGATCCATGTTCTCTATACGTCACAGTGCGCAATTATGTTAAAATAAAACTTAAAAGGAAATGCATTGAACAGCAAAGAAACACAGATCGATTCTTTAAGCACTATTTCAACTTTACATATTTATAAATCATGGCGATATTTTCAGCATCAAACGAGTGATGATCTTCCCATTAAGAGTACTAAAGTGAAATGCATTGCAAATACATTTTGCACAAAGCATGTGCTCGCATGTCATAATTTGTTATCGATAAGGTAAAACATTTGTGAACATCTATTTTGTGTCACAAGATAAAATATAAATGAACACTTATCGTCTGTCACAAAGTAAAATTTTAATGAATAACATTTACCTGCCACAAGGCAAAGTTTTAAAGAACAACCATTACCTACCGCGTCATTGTTGCTCAAAGGTGATATCTTTTACGATTGCATCTTTTTAAGTAAATTCTGTAACCATATCTTATAATGATATTGCCCCAGTACTGCTTACAAACCATCGGTAGTCTTTGTAGCTGTACAATTCAGCTATTTGTAATTAACAATAAAGAAAAACATGACGACAAAATACACTAAAACACCGAAAATGAACGGATTTCTATCTTTGAAATATCGGAGAAACACTGGGGTCCAGTTCCTCTGGGTTTGCAGAGCACAATTCATATTGGAGTCAAAGAGAGTCGGACCGGAATCACTGGGCTGTAACATAACAAAACAAACGTGATCAGACTAAACATTTAAAAGGATGATGTCGGTATTTAGCATAGTAAATACAATGTAACACGATAAAATGATCAAGAAAACAGAAATTCAATTATTGTCAACTATATTTACCTTTATGATATCAAAAATGTGATACATACATGTAGGTTCAGAAAGATTTCATCGTACAATGATACCATAAAGAATTGCGTTAAAACATTCGGGAAACACTGAAAAAGTGTGAATCAGAAGCGTGGTCGGACAGATCTATTCAATTTTGTATAAGTAGTCAAAATCTTCAACGATAAAAACAGACAATATCTATAGTTTTGTTACCTTATATTATGCATTTTTCCGACACTACGCGAATAAAATGTAATCGGTTTTGTGTGATTACTTACCACCAAAGATGATCTGCCTATTCGCGAATCGTTGTTGTACCCTGTTTGCACTCATTGTATTGAGCCCAGACATCCTGCGGCTTCCTCTGTCAAATGAGGACGCACCACCAGAAGGCACAGCGACTGCACGTGATCGAACGTTCATTGATGAGGATAAAGGCGTCACCCTATATCTACCATTGGGCGAGGAACTAATAGTACCGATAAATGCTTGACTTGATGGAACGGTAGCTCTATTGCTTCTTACTATGTATGGAGACGTTCTCGCTAACATCCTACCAGATATCGATGATGATCCGGCCGGAAACATACTTGTTCGACTATTCGGATTGAATCTCAGTCTGCTTTGCATTCTAGGTCCTAACCTTTGTATTTGTGCTTCTCTCCTTTGTCCGAGGGTAGCACCGGTTAAGAATGAGGTGCTTCTGCGTGTCTGTCCGATTTGTGTTAGAATGGGATTCACTGCTGTTCGTAGTGCCGGCCTACGTCCAGAATTGCTTCCTGCAATTCTTATTGATGGCGGTAGCTCAATACGTGAGCTGCTACCTGCAATACTTATTGATGGCGGTAGCTCAATACGTGAGCTGCTACCTGCAATTCTTATTGATGGCGGTAGCTCAATACGCGAGCTGCTACCTGCAATTCTTATTGATGGCGGTAGCTCACGTATACGTGAGCTGCTACCTGCAATTCTTATTGATGGTGGTAGCTCACGTATACGTTGCACTAGTTGTCTGTTAGTATATCTGGTGTTTCGAGACGGATACGTAGCGAAAGCTACACTCAACGTACTTAAAATGAGGGCAAACGTCTTCATATTGGAATCTGGAAGTATAAGAAGAGTTGAACATAGTCACACGGAACTTGCCCATAATAACAAGGAACTTGATTTCGTGAGAGTGTTCAGGTGTATTTATTGGGTCTAACCATATTATGTACTATTTGTTATATCATTTGAAGTAACATTATTTAAATGTACCGATGTAAACATATATCGACGCTGTTACATATCATGCCAAATGACTCGATCAAGAAGGAATAATAACTGAACTTGCATGTACTTGCAACAAACTTCAAGCGAAAAAGCAGTAAATTTGGCATAACCCTATAGGAAAATGTATTTGATTTAGAAACATTTTGCTACCTTCACTAATTTTTAGCAAACACTCTAAAGAATTATGCTTATGCTACCGGAACAAGTTGAATACAGATAAACATAACTAGTATAGGAATGAATTATTAGAAGCTTTAAAAATATAAATATATGTTTATAAGACATAGCAAATATTCATTATACAACTACACATTCCGTAGGTATATATTGTATAACTAGCGTACGTAAAAAAAATCAGATAAAGCCATACGTTAAACAATTATATGGAATGTTCTTTAGAGGGAAAGCGAATAAAATATGTTAAATTCATAACAGATATTGATTTATTTAAAAACGTTGTAAGGCAAAAAACGAGGGTGTTGTTAAAACAACAGAAAATATATAATGAGTGATCACCTTTCATACTTCACGAACATAGCATTAGTGACACGCCGCGACCTTACCGCTCAAAACAGTGACAAGTTACATGTCTTTGTGTGGACACTTACCTGGTTTGAGTGAAGCGGCGTTCCTCAGCAAATGAATGCCACAGACAATAAACTATCTCTATATATAGAGGGGGATGACTCGGCTATTGAAAACTTCATTTTGCAGTGTTTAAGTAGCGTGTCCCAGCTGTTAGGTGCAAAGGATGACAGAGAACAACGGACTGGGATGGAGTAATCATTATAAAGTTAATTATGATTGATAATACAACGTAATAAGTGGTCCTGTAATATGTCAGGTATCCAACGAGGCAGAATGTTCCCAACGTCTATATCCTAATGATGCAATTAGTTATATAGAGTTTGGATACAGATTCAATTTTAAATATTGCTTAAATACTTAGCTAAACAGAACAAAACGTTGATTTCCATTTTTTCTTTAGCCAATTTTCTATTTAGTGACTCATACAAAGTAACGTCTTGTAATTATGCTGGACTAAATAACCGGACTTCAGTATACTCATCCACAGGTTATGCTGTACCATTAGTATTCGACTCACATAAATATTATGACAACAAATGCGTCATAAGTACTTAAGAGGAAAACCTGCTATTTTAAACCCATTCACGTGCATGACGTATTGATATTAATCAGCTATATTCTTGCAAGGAATTTTTATGTTAATTAAGGTACACAATTTTAAAGATTTTATTTATAAGAATAGAATGTCTAAACTAATTAATAAGCATAGACATCAATCTTTGCAGATTTTTATGCAGATTTATTTTTTATAAATTTCATATAGTCACGAAAAAAAACTAAAATACTAAAGTTTAACATATTTTAAGGAAGGAACGATCATTAAGGAAATTGTAAATAAAGCCAACATTTATCACCGTGTATAGCCCGACAAGTGGGGTATCTGTTTTCAGAGACAATGGGTGCATCGAAGTTGATCGAAAACAAATGTACCACTATTTTCTTCATGACATCTTCCTACTCATAATGTTGTGCATATGCTGGAGGAATGTTTAAATGTCGTAACAATAATAAAATTTCCAACAAAGTGTGCAAACGTTAATGGAAAGTAGACAATGACGCTACTTACGCGAACGCTCGAATGTTACTGTATTTCTTTGTGTAGAATATGATTTCCGCATCTAAGGAATATGTAAAGACGTAAATTATATATTGATGTATATTATAAAGGTGCTAAATTTATATAAAGAGTATAAATGCAACTATTAAGTGCTTCCGGAGACACATAAATAATATTCCACACAATATTATCAACAAATGGAAATATATTTCTTTCATATAACATTTCTCTTAAAATTTGATGATATTGCTCCTTGAATAAATGTTGACTTGTTATATTGGAATTGAATGGATTTTTTCTCGTGTACACTGCGGCAGTGAATAGCAGTAGCTGATCTACATATCCTTAGAAGATATGTAGATCAGCTACTGCTATTTATTACCGCAATGTACATGAAACAAAATCCATTCAATTAATATATTTACGTTACAACGAATTACAATAAAAAAAGTTACAATACTTTTGTAAATTTGTTATTTTTTATATTAGTATCGGACGGATAACAATAAAAAGGAACAGCCAGAACTTCCAGCCTACACACAAACTTCAAATGTTCAACTTTCGCCGATCAGCTGATTTTGTTGAAACGAAAAATATCTATATATAGAATATAATAATAGCCGACACTTGATATTCTTTTCATTTTTGAAAGTTGATATTATTTGATGCCTTTTTGCAATAAACACCGCATATTATATCTTTTAAAAAGTTTATATCCGTACTATTTCCAAACAGTACATAATAATTACAAATTCATGAAATAGTCGTAAGTTGGGAAAAATTTTAAGGTTTTCCTAAGGTAACTTAGCGAACCCTTATGAAACCTAATTTAGTTGTTTATGAAATAATACAAAAAAAGCCTTAATCTAACAAAATTTCTAGGAAATAACAAACTTCAAAGTCAATCATACAACCTCAACATGAAATAGAACGAGTACTATATATTATATAATGAAATGAGATTATAACTCATTGTGAAGTAAAAGACATAGATCTCAATCGCATTATACAGTAATAAAACGTTTATAGCAAGACGTTGATACTGCTTACATTTCATAATATATGACTTCTCTTAACAGTTGCTTGAATCAAGTACTTACTTAAATTTCTAATAAGTTTAAAAGTTTTGCTAGCCAGTAGCTCTATTAATTTAAACACAGAAGGACGAATACGATAATATGGCTTGATATACGATACTCTTAATTCTAAAAATACAGGTCACATAAGAATGAAATGAAATTCATCCTCGACATCTCCAAGATCACATAAAGTACACAATCTCTGGTTTCGAGGCACTGCATTATATCTACATGTCTCTATTAAGGTTATGTGCTTGCAATCTATATTTCGCAAGAATTCATTTATTTTTTCTAAATAGCTGTTTTGTAAAATACCATTGTAGATCAAAGCGGTCAACAATGTGTTTATACAACAAACAATTTGAAGATGTCTCGAATATGTTTCTCATTTCCTGAATAAAAGTATACTTTATGCGTTGTATATATAATAATAAAAAAACATATTTCTCATTTGTATTACATTGTGCCAACTACACATCTCCAAAACCCAACGTACACAAATCACGTCTCAGATGATAAACCCCCAATTTGCTTTACAATTTGGTTTCCTGTTATAAAGCTCTAAAAGTTAATCGTAACAGGCCCTCAAAATACAGTTACCAGTCTTTAATATTTGAAGCCAGTACTTTACAATAGCAATCATACGCTGTATATGCAAAGGGTAACGACCAAGTTCAAAATACACCATGGCATTATTTATTGTTTTCCTGACACCCAATAAAGTTTTCAAAAATATAACCCATACTTCACACCCGTAATTTACAATACATGATATATAAGTATCAAATAAAGATAACTTGTTTTTTTATTCAACAAAAATATTTTCGCTTTCCGATTAAGAAGAAAATAAGATTTCCTTTACCGTTATAATTAAAAACCAAACCTGAATAGCAAAATTGATCTACCACTACTATAGCTTTACCATCACAAATCCACTGCTCGTTTGGATACAATCGTTTACTTTTCCTAAAAACAACTGTTTTTGTTTTGTCTACATTTACAGATAAATTCCAACGTCGAGAATAAGTGATTAAAAAAACCAACATATTTTGGAGGTCAACTACATCCTCAGAAAAAAATACCGTGTCATCAGCATACATAGGTAAAAACAAATTAAGTAACTGCAAGTGATAGTTTTGGCAATTTGACTTCATCAATTCGGATTCCATGTCGTTGACAAATAAAGAAAACCTTATTGGAGATAAAGATTCTCCTTGTAATAATCCGACCCGTAAGTTGTACATAGGAGATTATTTACGATAAAGCTTTACACATGACTTTTCACTCTCGTATATGGATTTGATAACATTAAGCATCCGTCATCTTGCACCCAATTTCCACAATTTCCTCCACAATTTATCATGTGATATACTATCAAACGCTTTTCTATAGTCTACGAAAACACAATAAAGTCTTTTATTATTCTGCAAAGTTTTAGTAATCAAGGTATTAAGTACAAAAAATGCATCTCTGGTACCACTCCCGGGCTTAAAACCAAACTGAGCAGCGGTAATTACCCAGGAATTAATTTCAAACTCTGAAAAAAACATATTTTTGCACTTACCTAAAACTAATAAATTACAATTTCATGCCGGTGTTCATGAATACTACTTTCTGCCACCAAAATATATAGAACTTCATTTTTGCTGAGATTGGGACAATTATACTTGCACTGCCGAGCGGTGCGAAGCGAAATTTTGTTTTCTTAAGATGTAATACTAAACTATTTCAAGCACTGCCGAGCGTAGAAAGCAAGAATTTATCGGACATTTCCTTGACAAACAAATCGAGTGAGGCGTAAAATAGTTTTCTGAGTTTGCGATATCATTCCAGGTTATATTTTATAATGTAGAGTTTTTATATTTTATGATGGCCGAGCGGAGCGAGTGTTAACACATTTTGTAAGAATGGTAAAAATGTAGAATTTTGGTTAAAATGTTGATGTCTGTGTCAGGCCCGTAAAATAGTCAAAGTTTATGGGGGGCTTTTCTGTAGATACATGTACATGTAGTTTAGGCGAGCATTTTGGCAATTTAATATTAACTTTTGTCATAAATATGAATTGTGATTTAACTGTTTGTCTTTTATTGTGAAATAGTATGCACACATGTGTGCAATGGCAACACCTAATGAAAAGAATGTACAGGCCAGGCTTTTATGCTGAACATTGGTTATTAATCACCTGATGAAGTGATGCTAAGGAGGGTGCTTCATTGTGTTTGACATTTTTGAAATTTATATTTTTTAATTGGTTTAATAAATCACTCCTGGTGACCATGTGTACTTGAAACGGTGTCGTCTCACGTAGCATACATTTGGTATGTTCCTATATACAGGTAAGGTGTTGGATGTATGCTAGGTGATATTTGGTGTCAGTTAGAGAACAATAGGATTTAATTACAGGTAAACTATAGTCTGTACTATAAAGTGTCTTACCATATGAATATGAACGTATACATAGGATTGATTTCGGTGTAAAATTTTATATATTTATCAAATTGTTTCCACTTCATCTATTATAGTCTTCATCATAATAATAGGGAATATCAGATTAAATGTCCTAACTTTACATATTATTACAATACAATACAGTTTGTTTTATTTAAGTGTCACATATCGATAAACATTAAAACTACAGCAGATTTTACAAAAAGTAAAAGTTATTTCAAAATTTAAATCGATCAGTTATCGACATCCAGCCAAATCTGGCTTATGAGACACTAAAAGTAATTATCACACCTTAAAATAAGCAAAATCACTAGCACTACATACATAATTATATAAAGTTAAAGCATAGGCGCCTGCAATACATATGATATGAAGCAGCGTCTAAAGTCGATCTTGTAAAGGTGTAACTGGACGAGAATACCGACCGGTTTCGACTTTTAACTTAAGATTACCGCAACGGAACTTTGTTATGTTTATCTATGGCAAAAATGCATAATATTACTAGTATAGGGTTCAGTGAGTTTTGCTTGTGACCACTAATGTATTTTACTAGTATATCGTGAGCTGTTCCATTAATCCTTAGTCAGAGCCTACAGACCTCTACTTTCTGTTCCACGTCACAGGAACTCCAACCAAGATCGCCACTTGTGGCGACATTGGACGCATTTTTTCCGGTACCGAAGATCTCTGGTCAAGGTTATGACCACTGACCTGACTGGAAACCCTACAAATATATAGACAATGGAGGATTAATCTCCTATTGTTTAGAGTATAAGTAGTGGACTCCTTGTGTGGGCATATATATATATTCAAACTGCTGGCAAAGGGAAGCCATAGAAAATCATAGTTGAAGAGAGGTTGATATTAAAAGGAAATTTCATATGAAATAGGGGAAAATCTTCACAAACCTTGGTCCAGATTATTTTTGGACTCGGATAAAGGGTGTTACCGGGGCAACTAGGGCAACACCCCTGGGTTCGCCACTGTAATGGCAGTTGTTTTCACTTGGTAGATTCATGTACAGAACAAACATCCAGAATATAAATATAAAGTTATAATTTATTAAATGTAGTTTATATGTTTTCAAAATGATTTCGACGATATATCAAATTGAGGTCATTTATATCGATATCTCACTGAATTTGATGATAATCAGGGATTTCCCTCATTATTTAATGAGTGCAGAGCCTACTTTTAAGTGTAACGCGTAAAAGAACATAAATGACAAAAACAAAACAAAAAACATAAATTTATGAATTATTCATTATGATGGTACAACAGGACGAGACATGTAGAGTGCCACAGGAACTCCCCACGGCATTATCACCTTTTCGTTCCGTAACAGATATATCATGTTTAAGAACACTGAGCAATGATGTATTAGTTTGACCTCAGGAACCCTTGCTGATTGATCAAACATCGCGTAACTCATCGAGAAAAAACTTACAGTTTCCTTTTTCAACATTATTTTCTTGCAAAACGTGAAAAGTACATTTATTTGTCTATGAAATATATTTTGATACTATAAAATGAATGTTTATGAAAAAATACACTAGAAATCAATTCAAACATATGCACACAGCTTTGTCATTAAAACGTCATAAGTTCACCACCAATATTAATTTGTTCCGGCGAAATAAAACTTACTTTGTCAAAGATTTGGAAGAAGTCGAATACTGTGTGTCTCATGATTTTAACAAGTTGCAAGAAAGTTTGTTTGAGTACGGAGACCATGCCTGAGTATGATAATAAATTCGTGAATTCACCACACGTTTCTGACCATATTTGCTGGATATAACAAAGGACACCATGACAGGTTCAACTGGGATTGAAAAAATGTCATTACCTTTGTTATCTAACCTGTATGTTTATTTAAGAATTAACCTTTTGTTTTGTTTAGTTTATGAGATAATAAATCGTATGGAGCGCGAAGCGTTTACGAACAATATACCGACTGCTCCATTGGATTTATTATCTCATAAACTAAACAAAAAAAAGGTTAATCCTTATATTTACAATATTTTCTCTTAACAATAACACCATTAACGAGGCTCCACCCATTCGCAATTAGCCAGCAGAATTCAATGAAAGTTTCACATAATGGTTATGTCACTATGTAGAGATGAATTTATGAAAATCTAAGCATTCCGATAAACTGTGTTTTTTTTTGGTAAAAAAATACCGAAAACTGATTTTTTGTCAACTTCAACACTTTCACATTTTTTGAGCGTGTGGCATTGTTCAAAAATATTACAAAAATAGAATGATGAAAAGAAACATTGCTTATCAACCCTACAAATATTTTATGTATCATAAAATATCTGCAACATGTTACAAAAAGCGTTTTTTATTGAAATTGTATGGATAAAAGTTACCAAATACAAGTTAAAAGCAAACAGGACACATAGTTTCATACAAACAGATTGAAAAATTGAACCAAATACACACAGTTTTTATAATTAATTTATTTTACATTTTACAATAATTTTGATCCTTATGAGAGTTGTCTACCTTGAAAAAAATCGGAACGTTTTGCAGAGGGATAGATTTATACAATGACACTTATTTTCTTTACTATACCAAAAACGACGGAAATATATTAAATTACCATATTTAATTGTCAATTTACTGTTCTTTTATGGAACAAAATTACTCCCAATCATGTACACTTTGGACATCATTCCATAGCCCGCTTACGCATGGTATATTAAGGTTCATGTAAACACTAATAATTGACCTTCAGGTCCCTTTATTTCATGTGTAAATATTACATTTATTACAAGCTGTGCTGAATTGTCGTTTTCAATATTAGAACTTATTAATTCAAACTCCCTATAGCCATGATTGAATGTTTGCCACGCACTCAATAAATAGTGTTAATTGAGTATAAATGAGCAACTCGTGAATATTTTGCCACTATTTGATGGGAAAATTAGAACTGATAACCTATTCATGTTTGAGAATTAAAACTTTGACAAAAATAAGATATTATATACAGTGACGTACTCCTATGAAGTAAATTATGTTTAAACATCCATAGATGGATTTAGGTTAAATCGAAAGTCATCGTGTTGTCCAATGGAGGCCGCCATTTTTATTTTTTAGCTGTCAAAAAATGGTGGTTATTTCCGTCACAAGCACAAGCGATCGGTGCGTCCATTAAACACCATACGACACGAAATAGACTGCGTTGACATCGAATGAACCATAAATAACTAGCACAGGTCGTAACCAGGTCTTTTGTCCATATTCAGACCAACTTTCTTCCTCTTCGTATGATTTTCGTACCGGACGACATGGCTAAATGAGAATTAACATCTTCCTTTCTTTCGAATTCTTTAATCTAAAGGATGACTGCTACCTGCACGTACAAACATAATATAATGATTAGTTATCTCCTCCCCCAAGGGCAAGTTTTATATGGAACATAGAAAACTGATAAGCCAGGTCTCTGGGTGATAACTTGAATAAGTCATCTGTCCTTAATGACTGATCGCAAAAACAAGCACAACGATAGTCTCTCCAAAAACAATCCAGACACACAAAAGTCTCTTTTCAGGCCCCCTAAGTCCAGGCTCTTCCTCCATGGTGCAATGACGAAGTCTTCGTGGTTGTTCCAATTCCTTTACTCCGGCCTTATTATGAGGTTGAAGACGGGCAAGTGGAGCCTGTAGGGCCTGTGGTGACAACGGTATCGTAGGTTGGTCCAGCTGTGGCACTACGGCTGGAGCAGAGATTTTGTCGCCGGAAGGCGCTTCCGGAGGCGGCCGTTCATCTGACGTAGGCGGTGATACTGAAGCCCAAGAGGTAGTGCCATGAAAGGAAGAGAACTTACGAAGGTGCTGGCGATTTCGGAGAGTCACTCTGTCTGTGCCATCCACACGGATGACACACTGGTGAAACTGACGCACTTCCACAACAATCCCTGTACGTTCCCATCTCAGAGGATGGTTTCCAACCAGGTTGTGTATGTAGACGTGATCTCCAACCTGCAGTGGTGGTAACCGGTGAGTGTGTTTATTCCACCGTTCATGTTCCCTGGCATGACGTCTGGCGCGTGCTTTCTCTCGATGGGACATTAGCTCTGTCCATGTTTCATGAGGTGAGTATCTACCAATCGGTATTGGAATGGCATCACGGATGGGTCGACCAAACAAAACTAACGCTGGCGATGCCTTTGTCTACGGGTCAATGGAATTTCTGTACATCAGTAGGGCCCTCTGAAACTTGTCCTCATCGAGAGACCCAGACGCGGTTATGTTGTCCATGAGCATGCGTTTTACAGTCTTCACTGCCATCTCAGCCCTGCAATCAGCATGTGGATTTGCGACCGATGAAATCCTATGCAGAACACCCAGGCTAGAAGAATTCCTATGTATTCCCTGCTGTAAACTGCGGGCCCCCATCTGATGTCAACTCTTCAGGAATGCCAAATGTCACAAAAGTCTCTCGCAGTCGTTTGACAAGACCATCTGCCCAAGAATCTGATCTGTGCACTATAGGCCAGTTGGAATATCTATCCACGATCACCACATAGTCCTTGCCATTGTAAGTGAAGTAGTCACTGCAGATCATCTGAAATAGGTACGCTGTTGGTGTTATGTCTGATAGGGGCTGCATCGGGTTGGACTTAGCCATCTGGTGGCAATGTGAACATTGGTCCCTTACTCTTGCAATGTCAACTGTGATGTCAGGACAATACACTGAGGATATGGCACGTGCACGCATAGCACTGACACATTTGTGGGCTGCATGTAGTGCATTAAGTACATGCGTTCGAAGTGCAAGTGGGATAACCACGCGTTGACCCATAAGTACCACACCATCCACCACACACAGACTGGCTGCAAAGCGATGATAGGGACGCAACTCAGTAGATAGCTCTCTGCAATCTTCAGGAAATCCAGCCTCTAGGTGGTGAATGAGGTTGACGAATGTGCTGTCTGATGCAGTAGCTTCTCGGACCATGTCCCATGTAACACGGTGACAACATAATTCAACGCGGTAGACGCTGCTGTAACAGTGAGTGTGTCATCAGCCATGTCCTCGCTCTCACTAAGCTGTCAAAGGTTATTCAGGGTGTCCTGCAATGGGATAGATGTGTTGCCATCCATATCAAGGTCCAAGGTTTCGCCAGGCAATTGTAGGTGCTCGGGCGGGGAAGCAGGGTGTCTAGAAGTAGCATCCGGACCTTGGTTCTTCTTTCCAGGAACATGTACAACTGTGAACCTGTACCTAAGAGTTTTTTCGTTGAGGTTAAGAAGTCGTCTATTACTAATATCTGTAAGTGACCTATCGTTCAGGATCTGAAGTAGTGGCTTATGATCCGTGGCTATAAGTAGATCTTTGCATCCTAGCACGTGATAGCGAGTCTGGTGGAGTGCATAAACAATAGCGAAGGCTTCGCCTTCAATGGGAGCATAGCGGCTTTCAGCAGGATGTGTAAACCTACTGCCAACTAAACACAACTTCCAACCATCAGGGCAGCAGGCAGCAGTCTTATCAGTACACTGGCAGTACTTCTGCATCAAGAAGGACCCTATTCCATCAACGGACCAGTCAGTAGCCAAGCAAGTCGGTCGGGCAGGGTCAAACAGGCGCACCCCTTCCTTCATCTCCTGTATGATAACCTCATTGGACTGATTGAATAGTTGGTCCAGCTCATCTGTCCAGACAAACTTTGTAGACGGTTTTAGCAGAGTCCGAAAAGGTTTCATCTGTCCTGTCCTGGCAAAGGCGTACGTACCCTGGTTAATAAGCCCTAACCATGCCCTGGCACCAGTGATATCAGTTAGTGTAGGGAAATTTCTGATAGCATCTAGGAACTAGCACTAGGTCGAATGTTTGTTGTCAGTCCTGCAAAGTCAACGGTGTCCTAGCCAAACTGAAACTTCTTTGGGTTAAGTGTGATGCCATTACGAACACACAGGTCAAACCATTCACATGCTTAAAAGAATGCCGCTTCAATGGACCCTGCCCACATGCAAGTATCATCCACGCACTTGACCTTGTTCCGGAAATTGGAAATTATGGCATCAAAGCGCTGGTTGTAAGCATCACCGCTAGCGAGAAATCCTTGGGGAGCCACTTTGTACCTATATCGCCCCCATGGCCTGATGAAGGTCGTGATATGTCGATCGTCTTCTTGGATGGGCACAGAGTGGTACCCATTCCAGGCGTCTGTTACCGTTTTTCTCGTACAGGGATAGAATACACTTGTAATTTACATCAAGTAAACATGGATAATGTATTGCTTGAGTTGATGTCCTGGTAAGACGAGATTTGTGTGTTGTATTATGACAAGTGACACAAACTGGAAATGCGAAATGAAGGCAAAAACATTGTTTGTTCAAAACAAATTTACAACTTTTTGGCACATTTTGGTCAATGCATATGTTCTTTCTTGTGAAATTGAAAGTTTTTATTGAAAATCCGATTATATATATTACTGTTTGAAGTGTCAATAAAAAGTAAACAAGTTATCAAAGCATGGAAGAAGCACATGTGTCAAATTAGTGTCGACTGCATTGCATTTCAGTGAAGCAGCACTCAAAAAGGCGCCATTAGTATGCTATGTCAAAAGAAATAAGCCTGCAAAGAATCTAAATGTGAATTTTTAATAGACATTGAATACCAATTAATTAACACTAATGAAAACTGTTAACTTATTTTACAACACAGGTGTGCAGCACAATTAATTGAGGCAATAGAAGCACATGTCAAATAACAACATTACCGTGAACATATGAGGAGGAAGCTCTAAAGACCCACACATTCCAAAGTGTTTAATTCTGCATGTAATGTACTGGATGCTCGTCAACCTCAATGCATGTTTACATTGCGTCCTGTCATCTTGCCTGTGGTAGTGTGGTCATGGAGGTGTAGCAATTGTAGCACTGAACTCATCTCGACGAATTGAAGCCTCATCCAGAAGTTCCTTATAGGTAATACATCATTGCACTAGATTTATTGATCTACCCAGATACCAAAGCATTGTCATCTGGTCCAAATGTTGCCAGGTAAAAGAAAATTAATGGTAAATTGAATATTCAAAACACTTGGGAATCGACATTTCACTTGCGATGGCCTCGTGGTTTTTTTCATGAGACATCATTAAGATACATTTGTGAACTTTCTTCTGAATATTAAAATGTTTTTACGAAATATCAAGATACTTCTTTTAACACCTAGCTTTGTTATTGTCTATTCCAGAAATGCACGAACAACATTGAATGGAATTTGTCTGACGACTCATTTTCCATCAGAGGACATTGAAACACACAAAGTGGCAATCTACAACTGTGCAGTACTCAGTTTTATAGGAATGATGGATTTGATGATGCAGTGTATAGAAATCTCTATAAAAGGGATGAGAAGGTTTACAGAATTGACTATTTGCAGGATTACTTGGTTGCCTGACAGTTAGCCCATCATTGTGTGTTTGTAAATATTGGTAGCTACAATTACGATATGGTGATATCTGATGGGATGATGTTGTCGTGGTATCTTCCTCACTAAGCAAAAGACATCTAAGCTGTTTTTCACATTTGCAACTATATGTCAAGCAACATTTTGAAGTTTGTACACTCGCGTGTGATGTACTGGAGCACTCAAATCGTACCAGAGTAGCCAATGGCGATAATAAAACTAGACTGATTTAGTTGGCCGAAGTATTGCAGAGGATATTGTTTTACGGATATGTATATTGTTAAATATGCCAATGTCTTGATTACGTTGGAAGAAATGTGATTATTCCAAACAAAACAAAAAACTTCAATAATGATGAACGATGATCAAATTAAAATTTGACACATGGTCCAACCGCTAAATAGATAGCACAATACATCAACTTGAGATCTTATGTATGGAATTTATGTCAATTTCATTGAAGAATTGGTATTTATTTTTATTCAAAAAATACAAATATACCTAGTAACTTTATCGCCACCCTACTATTCCGTTGACCTAAAATAAGGTGACACTGGGTTTACTTTTATACGATGATTCAAATGTGTTGTATGTGTATGCAATATGCTAATTAATGTCATTATCAATATAAATCAACTACTGTGATCTAATATTTGTTATTGACTCTTTTTTTTTTAACAAACCATAACATAAATAGCATGCATCATTTTTCGGTTAAAAAGATGGTTTTAGAAAAATTTGATGTTTGGTATTCCACTACATGGGCCTCCATTGTTTTAGAAAAGTAGTTCCAATATGGCTGATTTTGTATGGTGAAATTAACTAATGACTTGACTTTGAAGTTGTGATTATCAGTCTTTTGGAGCAGTTTCATTAACTTTCAACAATCCCACTAACTAAAATCAGTTCTAAGGAAGATTTTGACTGATATTTCCTTGCAAATCGACTCTGTTTTGTGTAGATATGTTATTTCCTGCATAACGTGTAATTAATGCAATTAAAACAATATTAACGTACTGAACTTAACTGAAAGCTAATACATACTTTTACTCATATCCTAAGGATCGTAGTGATACCAAAATAAGGGCTATCGAGATAAAATTCAAGAACTTATGACCTTTTGTAACTTAGGTGAAAACAGACTTTACATGAACCTTAACATGTCAGGTACATATGTAACAATAGGCTATCGCATGGTATGCCGTTATTACGTGCATTTTATAGGGATCTTGATATTTTATAAACCACTATTTTCACAGAGTTATTGTAATTGCATTTGTGAACCGATTTATCTGACAGAGCGTAACTCGCTCGACAACAAAAGTCGTAGCGACCAAGAGCTTGTGAACTACTGTTAGCACGTGATACGTACAGGCGAGGTCGGTAAACAAAACACATCAGTCTGCATTCCATACGCCTCATATACGACCTTCTTGAATTCGTCTGATCGTATGTCAGTGTTTTCCCGTGAGTTACTTTATGTCTTTGTATCATAAGCAAAATAAATAACACGTCTGTAATTTAACTTCAAATATCGTGTTAATGGATTATTTAGGATTTAGGTTATTAATGGACATCGAAAGTTATTTTCATTTACGAAAAACAACATGTATTCTATTTTACAGATTATAAAACTGGAAAATGTCTGTAAGACATAAATGCCCCCGCTGCCATGTGAAATTAGTTTCAGTGTTCTATAAAAAGTTACAACCACTTTGATCTTGATACCCTGAAACATGCACACACACAATGTACTACACTTAAAGTTGATAAGTTGATTTTAATATTCATATGTTTTTTTCTGTATGTTATTACCATCTCCATAACATATTGAATGAAGTTGCTAAGTGTTTAAATTGAATCAGTTAATGATTTTCTATATATAGCAACAGTGACCTTGGTCTTGACCTTGGAACCCTGAAACACAAGGGTATACAAATATTTGACCTTTGTATAAAGTTTGACCAAAATCCGTGAAAGAATGAAGTTGCTTAGTGTTTAAACTGAATCAGTTGATGATTTTCTATATATAGCAACAGTGACCCTGGCCTTGACCTTGGATCCCTGAAACACAACGATGTCCGAAGTATACTCATACTTGACGTTTGCATAAAGAATGACCAAAATCCATGAAAGAATGAAGTTGATAAGTGTTTAAATTGAATCAGTTGACGATTTTCTATATATAGCAACAGTGACCTTGGCCTTGACCTTGGATCCCTGAAATACAACGATGTCCGAAGTCTACTCATACTTGACCTTCGTATAAAGTTTGACCGAAATCTGTCAAAACATGAAGTTGCTAAGTGTTTACGGGACGGGACGGGCAGGACGGGACGAGCAGGACGGGACGGACATGGGCAACACTATATGCCCCCCCCCCCCCCCCCCCCCCCCTNACATATACACACGCTAACATTTTCGTGATTCACAATCATATTTAGACACACTTTAATTTCAGACTTACCGGTTTGGTAAAGAGATGTGGCGCATGCTCTCTTTCCGGTGTGATTTGAAAAAATCCCCTCATATCCTGCTTC